AGGCACGCAAGCTCAAGTGAAGCAAAGAGGACCTTCGAGGTTCAGGCGGAGACTAAAACATAAAAAGCTGAACTTGAAGTAGTCCCCCGCCCAGGAGGGAGGGTGAGCTTGTGATTACTGTACATGGGTGGGTGAGTGGTCGGAGTTGGACTGTGAGTCATCCCTCGAGATTGACCACAGGGAAGGCCAGGGCAGGCGTGTGAGAATTAGTTGTACGATTTGACGAAAACTTGCACGAGCAATTACCCGCTGAATTGTAACATGCTTGCTGTACCTTATTGGCTCAACTCGCTGTCACGACGGAGATTGCGGCTCCTAGCGAATTTCGCCGACCCGATTGTTCTTGCTGTGGCTCAGAATGCAAGCAAAGGGGTGCTGCCCGCAAACGAACAATGTCCACGTGCATCCAGCAGAAGCGCGCCAACTGTGTGAATCAAGGAACTCGAGGCCGACGACGACCAATCCCCTATCGGCGTTTAGGGATATGCTGCCCGTGGTCTGTCCGCGCTTCACGGGCAAATTGAAGCAATGGCATTCCAGTGCGCTCCGGAGAACAATTGGTCCCATGCTATGCCTCATGGCAGATTGGGGTCTTCATTTATGAGCCGATCCGTTTTTGTGATAACACCCGAAAGTTCACTTCCTTGTTACAAAAACAGAGGAAAGATAAGACCTTGGTAATTGAAATTTTGAAATTCCCGCCACTGCAACTAGGTTCACACGCCACTTGCGAGATGCTTCCAAGGCTCCAACGGTCATATTCTGCTTCCAACTCCGAGGTCTCAAATGACGAAGTTCATTACCCTGGCTCCCTATTCAGGCCCCTAAGATCGCCTCCACTTGTACTTACTTTCTCTATAAGCATTATGTTCGTGTAAAAACGCGCCTCTAAATGTCCAAAACAGTCTCGTCGCTTACATTACGCGACAAGAACGCAACGAGTCTGATCGATAGGTTCCGTCTTAGAAGCGCCCAATAGTTCCGGCGTAAAAGATCAAGTTAGTTTCCAATCACACTACGAGCTATGCCGGTGTACAAAATATGTTCAATACCCGTGTCGTTCCCATATGAGGCATATGACTGTCAGATTGTGTACATGACTAAAGTCATGCAGTCACTCCTTCAGGTGCGAAATCCGTTTCTCCTCCTCTGCTTTTCTCCTCCGAGTTTCGCGTTTCATCGCATGCGTCCTTGATCCTCGGCCATGCTGAGCGAGCGCCAAAGCCACGACCATTCTGTTGCATACCGTCTCTGTCAAGACCGCCGTTACTTGCCTTACCGTCTCTTTCGAAGCCCGTTCTCTTTGCGTTAGCGTCTCCTCCTGAGCCCATTTTGAAATCCATTTATCGCCTCGACCCTCGCCGCTCCCTCGTGGCCTGCAACCTTTGCTCCCTCCTGTCCTTCGCGTTATTCCTTGTCAACGCGCCGCCTCTCCCGCGAGCTCTTTCTTCCGCCTGGGGAGGAAGACGCTTCCGCGTACTGTGTGCCTCGTCACTAGCGCAACTCGTCAACCTGTAGTATTCTAATCGTAAAAAATTCCCGAATTTTCCGGTGCAGGGGGGAAACGGACTGCTGGAATCGCCGACAGGGACGGGGAAGACGCTTTGCCTGCTCTGCGCGTCCTTGGCGTGGCAGGCCAGCCTCATCCGCGCAAAGAAGCGCCGGGAAGCGCAGCAGCGGAAAGCCGTGCGCGAGGGGCGGGGGACGGTGCGCCAACTGAGCCAGGGCGCGGAAGACGTTGGATGCGCAACGGTGCGCCTGTCGCAGGAGTCGCACGAATCGTCGCAGGGTTCGCAGGGGATGGGGTCGCAGGGGATGGGGAAGCAGCAAGGAGCCGCGGGGATGGGAGGCTGCGGCGAGCACGGCGGGGGGAGCCAGAAAGGGGGGAACGTGGTTGCGCAGAACGGTTTGCCAAGGGGAAGTGGCGGAGTATGTCAAGCGGCGGGGGAAGACGGGGTGGGCGGAGAGGGGGAGGAGCGCATCCCCACAATTATCTATGCGTCGCGCACACATGCCCAGCTGCAGCAAGTGGTGCGCGAGCTGAAAGCGACCACGTACCGGTGAGTGCAAGTGGAGAGGGCATGCATGCATCTAGGCGGCGGCTGGGAATTCGTTAGGCAGGAAGCTCTGCGTTTGCGCCTCCAAGCTGAGAGGCGAAGTGCAGAATTGTACGAAATCTGAGGTGCCTGAAAGCGTTGCATAGTCGTTCTCATTCTCTGTTCTGCCAACTGGACCGCACATGTGCATTCTGGGTTCAAGGGAGCACATGTGCATGCACGGGAAGGTGGGCAACCTGAAAGGGAAGGCGCAGAACCACACGCTCTGTTGTGCCCCTGGGCATTCCCCAACCTCTTTCTGTGCTCTACTCTCCTTCCTTTTCCCCCAAGCAGGCCGCGCATGTGCATTCTGGGTTCAAGGGAGCACACGTGCGTGCACAGGAAGGTGTCCAAGCTGAAAGGCAAGGCGCAGAACCACACGTGCAGGCAGTTGGTCAAACGCCGCAAGTGCCACCACAACCTCATGGCCGCAGGTCAGTCAGGCTGCTATTTTGTTCTAGGTATTTTAGAAGGCGCTTTCAACAGCGCAAGTGCCGCCGCAATCTCATGGCAGCAGATCAGGCTGCTACGTTTCCCCCCCTCTCGACCCCACTTCCCACCTCGTTCACCTCCGCGCTGACTTTTCAGCCCCTCCTGTATTCCATCTTTTCGTTCCTGTAGGTCAATGTGTCAGATTCACGTGAACTGTGAGAGCCACTCTTGATCTTCCCAACCTTGGTGAATCCTCACTATTCTTTTCTCCCTCACTGTCCTTTTCTATACATAGGTATGGCCGAACGCGCACAAGGCATCTGCGCCCTACAGCACCTCCTCTTCCCCGCTCCTCACCTCAGATTTCTACAGCGTCTCTGTACCTCCCCCGTTTCTCCGTTTAACTTCTCAGACTATGTAAAATTGAACCCGCAAATGGCGTCAGAGCCGCACGATATTGAAGACCTCGTGAAGCTGGGCCAGATGGAAGGACCGTGAGTCTTCTTCCCTCCTCTCCGCCTCTCCCCATCTCGGTCCTCACCTCTCGGACCTCCTCTTCCCCGCTCCTCACCTCAGATTTCTACAGCGTCTCTGTACCTCCCCCGTTTCTCCGTTTAACTTCTCAGACTATGTAAAATTGAACCCGCAAATGGCGTCAGAGCCGCACGATATTGAAGACCTCGTGAAGCTGGGCCAGATGGAAGGACCGTGAGTCTTCTTCCCTCCTCTCCGCCTCTCCCCATCTCGGTCCTTGCTCTTCCTTTCTCGCCCTTTCTCGCCACATACAATGCACACTGCGTCGCAACAGCTCTTTCAGAATGCATCTCCAGCTAAGTGGGAATATACGCGTTTAGCGTATATATGCGTATCGTATATACGCTATCGTATATACGCTATCCGCTTAGGGGTCCGGTTTGGAGATACGCTTTTTCGGGCAGAGAAAAATCTTTCCGGGCAGGTGAAAAAAGTACTCCCTATTCTTACTAAGGCTTGCCCTAGCATAATCCCGTATCCGAATGGCTAGTGCAACGGGAGGTGGAGTAGACCTAAGGGCGCGTGTCTTTTGGATTTTATTGCAAAGTTCATGTTTTCTAGTCGATTTTTTACGTTTGAACCTAGGTCGACCTGTACTCGAGTATCTCAAGTTTTGGGTCCCGAGTCGCGATTTTTTCTCCCAAAAATCACATGGCACATCAAAGTTCGACTTCAGAAGTTCGACTTTATACAGTAAAACCCGAGTCGCGCCCCAGTTTCGTAGGTTACCCGATTTGAAAACGTAGCTCGTAAACTAATCCGGATGAAGTAACGAGGTACGATGTCGTTCGTTACTATCGCGAATGTCGCAGATTCACTGTGCATGAAAAGAAGAACACACGTTTGGCTAAACGGGCACGTGAAAATTCGACCCCAGTTCATTCTCTGTTTCATCAATCTTTAAACTTGGAAACACGATTATCGCAAACAGCTTTCAACGAAATTAACGAAGCCGGTTACCACCAAAAGGTCGACCTTAATTTTGAACCTCTACACCAAAAGACACGCGCCCTAATAGCTCGAAAGCGAAGTAGTGTGAACTCTGGTGAAAGCGGGAACGAAATGACGAGTTAGGGTTTAGCCAACAGGGTTGGCTGGTAAGTACCATGAGATTTGTTGGGGGGTTAATTTTGACAGGTTGGAGTTTGTAGATAAAGTGGAGTTCAATGCGGTAGAAGGGATGGTTTTCAATCCCTAGATGGGATCTGAAATTCAAGATTTGCCAGACGACTTCGAAGTCAGATCCCCGTTCGCCTAGACCGCGGATTTGAATTTCGACTATGGCGAAATGCTCACCTAGGAAATCCGCATCTATTTTGCGATTTTTTTTCGGGCAGCCCTAAAAATTTTCTGATAGCGTATAGCGTATAGCGTATGTACGCTAGCGTACATACGCTATACGCTTAAGGTGTTAAGCGTATATTCCCACTAAGATCTCCAGGTGTTCTTTACATCCACTCCGAATAAGTCTAACACCTGTTGGCTCCAGGCTGTTCCTTTGTTGAGACACCACACACAAGTGGTGTCTCAGCTTGTCCTGGTGTAGATTGGTGGAGGTTTTCCCTGTCCATGCCCCTTGGCCCACAGCTGCCCCTACTACGTCTCGAGGGGTTTTCTCGAGAAAGCAGAGATAATCTTCATGCCATACAAACTACGTGCTGGACCAGGAGTACCAGTGCATGCTTCTGACCGAATCTCCCTGCATCCATATTCCGCTCCTGCCTCTGTCCCCATCCCCGCCCCTTTCCCCCTCCAGCTGCCCCTACTACGTTTCGTGGGGCTTTCTCGAGAAAGCAGAGATAATCTTCATGCCCAACAACTATGTGCTGGACCAGGAGTACATTGGCACTCTGAACTTTTCCCCATCCCTGCCCTCGCCCTTCCAGCTGCCCCTACTACGTCTCACGGGGCTTCCTGGAAAAGGCGGAGATCATCTTCATGCCGTACAACTACGTGCTGGACCAGGACTACCGCAGGAACCTCAAAGTGCTCGAGATGAGAGGAGCCGTTCTCATCTTTGATGAGGCGCACAACCTGGTGAGTTTTCTTGCCCTGGCTGCTGCCCGACAATTCCACATGGCTCACGAGAAAGCCTCAAAGCGCTGGAGATGAAAGGAGCTGTGCTCATCTTTGATGACGCACAACCTGGTGAGTTCTCTTCCTCCTCCTCCCACCACCTTCCGGGCCCCCCTATCCTCCCGATCTCTCCTCCCTCCTCTTACTCTCACCCGTGTGCTCCCAGGAACGCCTCCTAGCAGATCAAGCCTCGGTGCAGCTCTCCACGTCGCTCCTCTCCGCCTGTGCAGCTGAAGCCGCCAAGTGTGTCGCCATTGCCACTGCCCGCGTTGCCTTTCCACCCTCCAGCAGCCAATATTCGGAGGGGGGTGATGGGGGAATGGCAGGAGGCGGCAAAGGGGGACGAGGAGGGGGAAGAGGAGGAGGAAGGGGAAGAGGAAAGGACGTGATGGTGGGGGGAATTGGTTATGGGGACGGTGGAGGAAGAGGGGGAGGAGGAAGAGGAGGGGGAGGAGAAGGGGGAGGGGTAGTGGGGGAAGTGCAGCCTGACACATTCAGCATTCTGCAGGGGCTGTTGCTGGCCATGGAGAGAAAGCTCCTTGACTTCCCCATGCACAGCTTCGTGCATGGCTTTGCTGTCGCTGCCCGCTCTGCTCCTGGCGCTCCTGGCGCTGCTGGTGCTGCTGCTGGTGCTGCTGCTGGCGGATCTGGTGCTCCTGCTGGTGCTGCTGCTGCAGGGGGCATGGGTGCTGGAGCAGGGGGTGTGGGGAATGGAGGCGAGTGGAAGAAAGGGAAGTTGGTGGGGGGAGGCGAGGAGGTGGGGGTGGCGTTTCCAGGGAGCTACATCTATGAGTTCCTGGCGCAGCTCAACATCAATCATGTCACCGTGATGTCCCTGTTTGCCACTGTGCAACACGCATTGCTGCTTCTCACTGATGGTATGTGATGGCTTCTGGCATTCTCAAATGTCTTATGGGACATCTCAAAATGCGTTCCCAGGGAGCTACATTCACGAGTTCATGGCACAGCTGAACATCAGTCATGTCAGCGTGATGTCCCTGTTTGCTACTGTATAGCATGCGCTGTTGCTTCTCACCGATGGTGCGTGTGTGTGGTACTGCCCGAGGTGTGCCCCGATCAGGTTATTAGCCATTCTGCACCCATTCTGCACTGTGTCAAAACAAGATAGCCCAATGTAACACATGCACATGTGGCCAAGCGCGTGCACACGTGTAACCAGTTACACGGCTGGGAGAAGCTCTTTCCCCCACTCAACGTATCCTTTCTTCCTTCTTCCGCTCGTTGCTGCCTCTTCCCCACTCTCTGCTCTCCACTCTCCGCTCCCCACTTTCTGCGCTCCACTCTTCCCTCTCCACTCCTCCCCACCGCATCATTCTCAAACAGATGCTGCAGCGTTTTCACCAGGCGAAGCAGAGGCTGGTGGAGCCGCAGAGGCAGGCGGGGACCAGGGGAATGCGGGCGCGGAGGGAGGAGGGGCGTCAGGGCGAGGAGCAGGAAACCCGGCGATGTCGTTCCGGCTGGAGCAGCTGTGGGCGGCGCTGCAGCTCATCTTCCCGCCCACTGGGCCCACCTCCCACGCCAGTTCCTTCAAGGTGCGTGTGTGCTCGCCTTGGTCAGAACGGACTCACCTCCCATGACATCCCATTCCAGGAGTGTGCTTAACGAGCAGAACAGAAGTGCGAGTGCAGCCCCTGCAGAGGCGTGTTTCGGCTGGGGCAGCTGTGGGCAGCGCTGCAGCTCATCTTTCCCGCCCACTGGACCCACCTCCCACGCCAGTTCCTTTAAGGTGCTGCGTTGAGCTCAGCCGAAGGTAGCTTGATGCAACCTTCCTTAGGTGACTAAAAGCATGACTCGATTCAAAAGCCTTGACCAATGAGTTCATTCCGAGTCGAGAAAAAGAATCGAAGCTGAAGGTGAAGGTGATTAGTGCGATGCACTTCTCTGTGAAGTCCACATCCGGCCCACAGTGGTTCAGACGCTCAGGTGAAGGTGATTGGTGCTTCGACCCACATCCATTTCGTCATCCATCACTCGTCATGCTCTCCCCCGACCCACCCTCCCCCCCCATCTCCACACAGGTGTGCATAACAGAGCGCAGGGTGAAGGCAAGGAAAAACGCGTCAGTGGCTGCGCCCTCAGTGGTTCGAACGCTCAACTGGTGGTGCTTCGACCCGGGCCTCGTGATGCAGCAGATCCGAGTATTGGGGGTGCGCTCCATGCTGCTCACCAGTGGCACCCTCTCCCCTTTACAGCCTTACGCTTCAGAGCTGAGAGTGTGAGTGTGTGGGGGGTCACCCTTGTAATATGTGAGTGGTGCGTTGGGTTCAGGCCTCGTGATGCAGCAGATTCGAGTATTGGGGGTGCGGTCCATGCTGCTCACCAGTGGCACTCTCTCGCCCCTGCAGCCCTACGCTTCGGAGCTGAGAGTGTGAGTGTATGGGGAGTGCAGTGCAGCACGTATATTCACCCTTGTAATATGCAAGTGATGCAGCAGGACACGGTGCTGGGGGTGCGATCCATGCTGCTCACCAGTGGCACCCTCTCCCCTCTGCAGCCCTACGCTTCAGAGCTGAGGGTGTGAGTGTATGGGGGGTGCAGCACATGTAACCTCCGTTGGTAGACTCTGTTGTGAATGCGGGGTGCTGCCGTGCATGCAAGTGAGTGAGAGATGCTGTGCGTGGTTGGGCGTGTTTGCTAGAAACACCATGGCTCTTTTCCTTTTCTCCCTCTCTCCCTTGGCTTTCTCCCCACCCCCTCCACCTGTAAGCAGCCCCTCCCCTTCCAGCAGCAGCTACAGGATGGGCACGTGATCAGCCAGGAGCAGGTGTGGGCAGGAGTGCTGCTGGTGGTTCCTCTTGTTGCCAATACCGCAGCAACACGCCCTTCCGCTTGCTTCCCCGACAAACCCCCTTGTGATATTACAGGCCCTTTCAGCAGCAGCTGGAGAACAGCCATGTGATCAGCCAGGAGCAGGTGTTGCCAGTGGGGCTAGTGAAAGCAACACCACACGAATCCCCCCTGCATTCTATTCTTCCTCCCCACCTCTCCCTGTTTTATACAGCCCCTTCCAGCAGCAGCTGGAGAACAGCCATGTGATCAGCCAGGAGCAGGTGTGGGCGGGTGTGCTGCCGGTGGGGCCGTCAGGGGTGGCCCTCAACTCGGGCTTCAAGACGCGCTCGCAACATGACTACCTGCACGACATGGGCTCTGCTATAGGTGTGCCTCGCTATAAGCGTGCTTCGTTATAGGTATGCTTCGTTATAGGTGTGCCTCGTTCTTGGTGTGCTTTGCTTCACTGTCTTTTGTTATACTAGTGATCTGATGTGAGCACGCTCACCCTTCCCCTTCGTCCTCCCCTTCCCCTTTCCGCTCCCATTTCCTCTCCCCTTTCTTCTCCCCTTCCCTGTGCCGCCCGCAGTCAACATATGCCGCATCGTCCCGGGCGGCGTGCTTGTCTTCTTCCCCTCCTACTCGTGCATGGACTCGTCAATTCAAGCCTGGCAGCTGCCCGTACGTCTGCTCTCCTCGCTTCTCTTGCACCTCTTTCACACTTCCCTAACACACGCTTTTCTGGCACACCCCTCCCTCAAACCTCCCTCACATCTCTTTCACACACCTCCCTCACATCCCCCTCACATCCCCCTCACACCTTCCCTCTCCCATTATGCCACAGCCACATCATGTGTGCCTCAAATCCGTTTGAACTTGAATAGGCATGAGTAGAGTGGGAGGCTCACCTGTTTTGCTGCCTTCTTCTACCTCATGTTTCCTTCCAGAATTGGGAAAAAGAAATATCGCTTGCCTGCCAATCATCCTTCTGTTTGCCAATCACCCGTCCATCAACACACCATCCTTATGCTGCCTATCATCCTATCATAACATCCTTCTGCCTGTCCTTTCGCTACCACCTCCTTCCAACTCACCCACCCTGCTGCCCAGCCTGCAGGGCGACACGATTCGGCAGCATTATCGGTGTGGCAGCGCATCGGCATGCAGAAGCAGCCGGTGGTGGAGCCACGAGACTCGGCGCTGCTCGGTGAAGCCAGGGAGGTGGGTCTGATGAGGAGGGATGAGAACGTGTGCCCGAGAGTAGTAGCATAGGCGTGTCACGTTTGCCTTCATTGTATCATGTGACCATAAGCGTGCCGTGAGCATAGATGCATAGAAGCAGGCAGTGGTGGAGCCACGGGACTCGGCGCTGCTAGGTCAGGCAGAAAGGTACATTCTATGAGGGCGAGAAACACCTTGGGTACTACGGGATGGGGCATGTGACAGCAAGGGCTTGTGTCTTTTCCTCTCACCCTGTTCCTCACGCCTGTTCCTCGTGCCTGTTCCTCTCATCTGTTCCTCATGACTCCTCACGCATTGGCGTATTCTGTCCTCTGCCTTGCTCTCACTGCCGCGCGCCTCCTCACTCTTGTCTCTTTGACCCCGTCCAACGTCTCTTCGCCCATCCACCGCCCATCAGGACTATGTGAGGAAGCTAGAGGAGGAGGGGTCAAAGGGTACAGTGCTGTTTGCCGTGTGCAGGGGCAAGGTGAGCATGTGCCTTTTAAAACCTTTTCGTACCTTCTCAGAAGTAGGAAAATATAGTTTCAGCTGCTTAACTCCTATGGTGGCTTGATGCCTTGTTTTGATGTAGAAGTCTCAAGTTTAGCAAGCCGGTGCCATGTGAAGTCCCTGCTTCCGTACATGCATGGTGTATAGATCATGTATGCAGGCATGTGCACATGCGCGCATGTCTTTTTGCATCTGAACCACTCAGTCAAATGCCTGTGTGTTTCCATGTAAAATTGCATTGAGTTCAATGCAAGTGCAAACTTGTTGCCCCGCAAACCCCACCCCACCGAGCAGGTGAGTGAGGGAATCGACTTTGCCGACCATCTGTCCCGTGCTGTCGTCATAACGGGCATCCCATATGCGCAGCAGCTCAGCCCACAGGTGAGCTGTCAGCCAGGGATTAGCTTTTGCCGCCATGTGTCTTCATCACTGGCATGGCATGGCATGGCATGGCATGGCATGGCATGGGATGGCATGGCATGGCATGGGATGGCATGGCATGGCATGGCATGGCATGGCATGGCATGGCATGGCATGGCATGGCATGGCATGGGATGGCATGGCATTGCATGGCATGGCATGGCATGGCATGGCATGTCATGGCATGGCATGGCATGGCATGGCATGGCATGGCATGGCATGGCATGGCATGGCATGGCATGGCATGGCATGGCATGGCATGGCATGGCATGGCATGGCATGGGATGGCAAAGGATGGCATGGGATGACATCCCACACGCACAGCAACTCACCCCACAGATCAGTCTTGCGGTTTCCGAAACCTGCTGTGTCTTGTGCGTTGTATCTTTCTTCTGGAATACTCCTTCCCACAATCAGGTGGTTAAAGAAGCAGTACCAGCAGGCGAGGGTCATGGCCACATCAGCACCATCGCACCAGCAGCAAACATGGTCCTTCCTTGTATCATGTCTTCTCAACCGATCTTTCCTCGATTGCCGCTCCCTACTCTATCCCACCAGGTGGTGCTGAAGAAAGGAGTATCTGGACGAACGGGTCACAGCCCACCAGCAGCACCGCCTGTACCAGCAGAACCTCTCACCAGCACCACCATCAATCAGTGCTCGTTTATCCCTCTCAATTCAACCCCATCAGGTGGTGCTGAAGAAGGAGTATTTGGACGAGCGGGTCACAGCCCACCAGCACCACCTGTACCAGCATCCAGACGCCGTTGCTTCCATGGTAAGCCTATGTTTCTATGTCACAACACTTAAGGTTTGCCACGTGCTTATGTCACAACACTATCAGCCCACCAGCACCACCTGTACCAGCATCCAAACGCTTTCGCCTCCAACTCTGCATCCATCGTAAGCACATATGCTGGTTAGTTGCTATGCCGCCTGTCCTGGCTAGGCGCTATGTTATTTCTGTGTTTGTTTAGCTGCCGATTCTGTCAGCGGGTAGGGCAGATTTCATCCCTCCTCTGCCTCCTCTGCCTCCTTGACTGCCGCCTTCGTCCCTTCCATCCCTCCAGTCGCCAGTATCAGGAGCGCAGTGGTACACGCTCGACGCCATAAGGGCCGTGAACCAGGCAGTGGGGCGAGTGAATCCTTTCTCTCCTCTTCTGCCTCCCCTCCTTCCTCTCCTGCCCCTCGTCAATCCACCAGTCGCCAGTATCAGGAGCGCAGTGGTACACGCTCGACGCCATAAGGGCCGTGAACCAGGCAGTGGGGCGAGTGAATCCTTTCTCTCCTCTTCTGCCTCCCCTCCTTCCTCTCCTGCCCCTCGTCAATCCACCAGTCGCCAGTATCAGGAGCGCAGTGGTACACGCTCGACGCCATAAGGGCCGTGAACCAGGCAGTGGGGCGAGTGAATCCTTTCTCTCCTCTTCTGCCTCCCCTCCTTCCTCTCCTGCCCCTCGTCAATCCACCAGTCGCCAGTATCAGGAGCGCAGTGGTACACGCTCGACGCCATAAGGGCCGTGAACCAGGCAGTGGGGCGAGTGAATCCTTTCTCTCCTCTTCTGCCTCCCCTCCTTCCTCTCCTGCCCCTCGTCAATCCACCAGTCGCCAGTATCAGGAGCGCAGTGGTACACGCTCGACGCCATAAGGGCCGTGAACCAGGCAGTGGGGCGAGTGAATCCTTTCTCTCCTCTTCTGCCTCCCCTCCTTCCTCTCCTGCCCCTCGTCAATCCACCAGTCGCCAGTATCAGGAGCGCAGTGGTACACGCTCGACGCCATAAGGGCCGTGAACCAGGCAGTGGGGCGAGTGAATCCTTTCTCTCCTCTTCTGCCTCCCCTCCTTCCTCTCCTGCCCCTCGTCAATCCACCAGTCGCCAGTATCAGGAGCGCAGTGGTACACGCTCGACGCCATACGAGCTGTGAACCAGGCAGTGGGGCGAGTGATTCGCCACCGTCTCGACTTCGGCTCAATTATCCTGCTGGATGAGAGGTGGGAGAGGGGGAGGGGGGATGGGGATAGTTGGCTGGAGGCGGATGGGGGAGTAATGGAGGGGAGGTTGAGTGAGGGAGGGGGGGTGGGAACAAGAGTGTGGGAGAGGTGGTTCCGTCTCTGCCAGTTCGCCTCTGCCAGTTCGCCTCTGCCAGTTCGCCTCTGCCAGTTCGCCTCTGCCAGTTCGCCTCTGCCAGTTCGCCTCTGCCTGTTCGCCTCTGCCAGTTCGCCTCTGCCAGTTCGCCTCTGCCAGTTCGCCTCTGCCAGTTCGCCTCTGCCTGTTCGCCTCTGCCAGTTCGCCTCTGCCAGTTCGCCTCTGCCAGTTCGCCTCTGCCAGTTCGCCTCTGCCAGTTCGCCTCTGCCAGTTCGCCTCTGCCAGTTCGCCTCTGCCAGTTCGCCTCTGCCAGTTCGCCTCTGCCAGTTCGCCTCTGCCAGTTCGCCTCTGCCTGTTCGCCTCTGCCAGTTCGCCTCTGCCAGTTCGCCTCTGCCAGTTCGCCTCTGCCAGTTCGCCTCTGCCTGTTCGCCTCTGCCAGTTCGCCTCTGCCAGTTCGCCTCTGCCAGTTCGCCTCTGCCAGTTCGCCTCTGCCAGTTCGCCTCTGCCAGTTCGCCTCTGCCAGTTCGCCTCTGCCAGTTCGCCTCTGCCTGTTCGCCTCTGCCAGTTCGCCTCTGCCAGTTCGCCTCTGCCAGTTCGCCTCTGCCAGTTCGCCTCTGCCTGTTCGCCTCTGCCAGTTCGCCTCTGCCTGTTCGCCTCTGCCAGTTCGCCTCTGCCAGTTCGCCTCTGCCAGTTTGCCGCTGCCGTGGCCACTTCGCTTATCCTGCTGGATGAACAGCGTGAGTGAGGAAATGGACAAGTTAGGCTTGATGCCCCTCTCCCCCATCTCCCCCCCATCAGGTTCGCAGAGCCCAAGCTCAAGGACCGCCTCTCCATGTGGATCCGCCCTGCTCTCAAGGTGCCTTTCTCCTCTCTCGACCTCCCCCTCCGTCGTGCTCTCTCGTTTCACCCCCTTTCCACATCTCTACCACTTCCCTCTCCTCTGTATTTGTTTACCTTTCCCCCTCGTCGTCTCGTTCGCTCTCTATGCGTTCCTCTCACTCCCGTTTCAGCATTGTCAAAATTCCGGCCTTTCCAACGCAAGTGCCCTTTCTGTACAAACCACCCCCTCCTTCTTCTCCCCCATCATCAGGTATACAGTGCGTTCGGCGAGATGGCCTTCGCTCACACCAGGTTCTTCCACAGCCAACCCAGTAAAGCCTGCCCCCAACATGCCCTTGCTTTCCTTATCACTCCCCCACCCTCCATCCCCCCACCCCAATCAGGTCTACAGTGGGTTCGGTAAGGCGGCCTTTTCTCTCACCAAGTTCTTCCGCAGCCAGCCCAACGGAGCCCACCCCAAGCCCGCCTGCCCAGACCCAACCGCCCCAAGCCCCACCCATTCGCCCACCCACATGCATCCTGCTGCTGCCGCCGCTGCTGCTGCTCCCACCACCGGCGCCTGCCCCATGAGCACCAAGCACGCTGCAGAAGCCGCTGCTGCTGGTCTGCCAGGAGTGGACGTTCTTCCCCCGTTCCTCTCCAGCCAGTCCCTGCTCGATGCAGGTAGGTTGCCACGAGGCAAGCCCAGCAGTACCCTGCAGTACCCAGCAGTACCCGGCAGTACCCAGCAGGATCCAACAACGTGTAGCAAAGGTTTGTGAGCACATGCAATGCGACTAAGCCAGGAGCTGTGGGTAGCGGGTTGAGGGCAGTGGGGCAGTGCGCATGCACCATGTATAGCTAGCTACCTCATGCCTGTGTTCCCCGCTTTCTAGAGTTGTCACAGTTTCTCTTGTTTTCTCATCTGCTGCACTCCCCCACCCACATGGCACCAGACCCCTTGCTGGTGCCAGCAGCCAATGAGGTGTCGGCAGCAAGGCGCCAGGGAGCGGCCACGAGGGGGAAGGCGAGCAGCGGCGATGGGAACGAGGGTGTTGTCAGAGACAGAAACGCTGCAGGAGGCGATGACAGGAGTCAGGCTGGTGGAGAGGTGAAGCTTGAGGGTGGCACGGCAGGGAAGGTGCGTGGAGGGGAATAAGCATTTTGGGGGTGAGTGCGGTATGGCTTTATTGCTATGGTTTTGCAGATTACGCCCTTCAGTAATGTCTGTGTGGTAAGGTAGTGGGAGTGTCATTCACACTCTCTGAAGGGTAAAGCTAGTTTATTGGTTTCAGTCAAAGGCGCTCATATCTGGATTGGACTCAGCATTTTTTAGGTGTGTTTTGAACGACTCAAAACACGCCCCTAAAGCTATATATTGGGCACTCATATCTGGATGTGACTCAGCACTCTTGACCGTGGGCCGAGTGACTTGAGCGGAGTTGTGTGTGTCTTTGCAGGTCAATAGCTCACTTTGGAGTTGCTTCACGGGACTATCCTCTTAGCTTATCCTTTGTTCTGAGACGTCCCAAGCAATCTGCTTTTTCTATGCATATCCCTCAATGCCTCTTCTTGTTTCACTCCACCAACCTGTCATTTTCCAATCCCTATTTGTATCCCATGCCTGCCCATCTCTCACTTCAGAACTCGCGAGTGCCATCTCTCTTCTCCACCACCATTCCCCGCCTGCCTGTAACCTCCACCTCCTCGCTGCTCGCTGCTGCTTGTGCCCACGTGAGCACACACCAGCCTGCACCAGCTTCCCAACCCCAACCAGCCTGCAAGCCTTACTCGACCACCATACGAAAGTCAACCACGAAATGTGTCTCCCCTGCCTCTCCCACCATTGACTTGACTCAAGACCGTGAACCTCCTGACCCTGCTGCTGCTGCTCCCTGCTGCTCCCCTCCCGCATCCCCTCCTCTCCCGTCTGCTACAAATTGTCTTTCTCCTGCCTCTCCCGTCATTGACTTGACACAAGACTGTGACCCACCCGACCCTGCTGCTGCTCCTCCTCCCTGCTCTCTGCATGTGCCCTCTGCTTCTTCTCCCGCTTATCCTTCTGAGTCCGATAATGGGAGGAGCGGGACAGGGCGGGCGGGGGCGAAGAGGAGGCGGGATGTGGAACCTTTGCAGGATGGAGGGGTGGAGGATAAAGGTGGGATGGGAAGGAGGGGTGCAGGGAGGATGAAATGCGACGGTGCAGAGAGGCGGATGGAGGGTGGAGATGCAGCGATGAGAATTGGAGGTGTTGAGATGAGGATGAACGGTGGAGATTCAGAGAGGAAGATGAAGGGTGGAGATGCAGGCAATAGGAAGGCGAGCGGGGAAGGAAGTGAGTGGAACGAGCAGCAAACTGAAAGAGGGACGGGATCAGCAGGTGCAGGAGAAGCATTGGGAGGAGCAGCAGTGGGCGATGGGGATTGCCTGAGAGACCCTGGCGGTTGTGGCAGCGGGGGTGCACCACCTCGGACCGGGGCTGAAGCTCATCCCATGGGGCTGCAGCAGGCTGGGGCTGAAACTGAACAAATGGGGCTGCAGCAAGACAGCAGAGGAGCCTCTCGGAACGAAGACTCTTTGGCAGGCCCACGGGGTGAATGTTTAGCATCAGAGGGGTTCCTCAGGAGTAGAAGAGCAGCAAGCTGCCAGGGGAATGATGCATGGAGCACAAGAGCAGCAGGTTCGCAAGGGAGTGGTGCAGGGAGTCTTGCCACCCGGGAAGGGAGTGGTGCAAAAAGAAGCCGTGCTACGAGGGAGGAGGAGAACAGGCGGGCACGCGAGTACCTGAGTGTGGTGCAAACCTCCCTGCCACCGCCGGACTTCCAAACATTCCTCCGCCTGCTCCGGCAGTTCCGAGAAAGCCGAGCGCAGGTTCGGCAGCCCCCAGCAGCAGCAGCAGCAGCAGCAGCCCGTCTTTTCCTCTGCTTCTCAACCAGCAGCGGTGCCAGTGGGTGATGGAGCGGTGTTGAGCGGTGGTGCAGTGTTGGCCACTCGCACTGACCTGCTGCATTCACTAGCATCGCTCTTTGCGGCCTCCAACCAGCTGCCGTTGCTCGCAGGGTAAGTCGCTGCTTGCCTCTGTTGGCAACGTAGGTCACTGCTTCTCTTGCTGCTGTGCCTTCAGTCGCTTTTCCTTCTGGTAACCAGACCGCGCCCTTCTTCAGCCCTTTCCTCCGACTCCACTTTTCCCTCTCCGTTTGTCAATATAAAAGAAGGCTGCTTCTTGTCTAATAGTTTTGTATTCTTGTCCTCACCATCCCCTTCCACCCCCTCACTCGCACCTGTCACCAGTTTTGATGCTTTTCTCAGCAAGCAAGAGGACAAAGCTACACTCAAGGAGTTGTTAGGAGAGACAGCTGGGTAACTTCCAGCAACGTTTTTTCGCTTTAGGGAACATTCCTGTGGGGACACAAGTGTCTCAATCCCATAATATAACCTACGTATCGTTCTGCACCGCATTACACCTAAGAATCAAACATTTACACCACATTGTATCTAGTTGTTTGAGACGCGAGGCTTTTGTGACGCGCTTTAGGAATGTTCCCTTAGTGTCGATCCTAGCCCGACCCGAGGCTTTTTTGTATCACAAATGCTTAGACGTCCCTGACGAACAAAATCCCCCGTGCCTGGGATATAGCATCATGTTGAGTAAACTAACAACCCAACCCATCTACATGACCAACGTGGAGAATGATAAGTGATCAAATATCCATTGTTTTCGGCTTTTAACGGTATGTCATTAGTTCCTTAGTGTTCCCCCTTTCACGTTAGCGGATTCTGTATTGGGGGGCTATAAGAACAGAAATTTGCATTCTCGTCCAAATTCCGTATTTCTCGTGACCACCGTCGCGTGTCGCCTAACATCTTCGTCGTCGTCGGCAGCAGCAACAGCAACAAGGAGCAGCATTTCTCATCATGGTGCCCTCGCTTTCCGTGGGGCTGGCAGGAATTAACACAGCGTGCCTTCGCATCTCTTGCTTTTGTCTCTTGATCCTCGCGTTTGCCATTAGCACGGTTCGCGCCGCGTCCCGTCCCTTCGGTTCGGTTTCCGCGGGGAATTTCGACAGCCGCCTGCGTTCTGCCACGTGGCAGTCGTCAGAGTTCTCGCTCCCGTCGCAGGCGATCCGCTTGGGTGTGATTCTAGAAAGAGGTTCTTATGGCGAAGTCACGTCCGTTAGAGTAACGAAAAGGAAAGCAGAAAGCTCATGGATTCAGAACGAGAAAGCGCGAGCGGAATCCGGGGAGGGGTCTGCGGAGCGCGGAGTAGACGGGGAACAGGAAGGCCAGTGGGGAGCAGGGAACAGGGAGAAGGGGGAGCAGGGGGAGCAAGGAGAGCAGGGGGAAGGGGAGCAGGGGGAAGGGGGGGATTCTGGAGCGGCGGAGTGCGCGTGGAGTATTTTCCAAGAGTCGATGCACGACGTTGGGTGGCATTTTTTGTCCGTAGCGACCAACGCGTCGTGCTCCAGCAAGGATCAGGCGTTTGCAGCGGGATACGCGGAGGGGCAGCTGACGTCACTCCCCATGCAGCAGCATTTCGTTAACGAGTTCGGCAAGTTAAAACGCTCCCCGCGCCTGCTGCAGTACCTGCAAACGAATCGCGCTTATATGGAGGATATGGTCGCTGCCGCCGAGGCTGGTGATGTGGCGGACGGCGACGATCGGACGTTCTGGTGGCAGGTGCGGGGAAGGGGCGTGGGGGGATTTGGGAGTCGGAAGCGGGAATTGGCGGGCAGAGGGGTGAATTTGCTCCGTGCGCTAGTCATGACCGGCCTGTTACATCAACTAGATTTTTCTTTGTAAGCGCCTCACAATTGCTTGTATAGCACTGGCGTGACCTATCATGCTAAGCAACCTTGGGTCCTGCTTTGACTTGCGTCTCTTGCCTCCCTCCCCTCCCATCCCCCTTATGGCAGGTGGGTTTGGTGTTGGAGCAGGTGAGGGGGCTGCACATGGGCTTTAACGACGCAGTCAAGCCTGAAGAGAGGCTGGAAGGTGCGATGCATTCATGCATGCCCGCATGCACGTGCGTGCGAAACCATCCATGCACTTTCGTGCGAAGCTATGCATATCGATGATCCATGCAAGTCCATGTGAATTTCCCACACATTTATCTGAATGGAATCACACTCATGCACATGCATTCGATCCATACAACATGCATCCGTGCACTCATGCACTCATGAACTCATGCATGGGCCTGTTAATTCCAGAAACCTATACGGCCGCTCGTCACATGCCCCCTCTTTATTCAATCTACCCTCCAGACCAGATTGCATCTTTTCCAGAATTTCAGCTCATTTCACTTCCCACCCCACGTTTTCCTGTCGTCACCGGACTGCACTCCTTTCCACCGCTCACCCACCCACCCGCCACCAGCCATTGACTTCGACATTATGAATCTGCACGGGGACATCCAGGATCTACAGTACGTACTCGATATAGCGCATGCTGCACACGCAGACATTGCCAGCGGTGAAGCGGAGGGAGGCAACAATGGAAACAGGAGTGATGAGACCAATGGGAGCAGTAGTGGGGTCGGCAGTCAGGGCATCAATGGGGGAAGCAGGGAGGGCAACAGGAGGGGCGAGGGTGTGAAGGAAAGACTTATGCTGGTTTTTCCAGATGCATGCTCTGCCATAATCAAGGTGAGTCCGTGATTTGCGTAGATCATTTTTTTTAAGCTTAAAATTAGTGTATATTGTACCTCCTCGCGGTTTCTGCTTCGCTTCCATGAATTCACCCCCACGCTCATTCTTGAGTGCGCAATCATGGTCCCTCTTTGAGTCTACGATGTCTGATCATGCTCTGTGCTCTATGCCCCATCGACCCCTTGCCCCCACCAGCTACTGCCTGGTAACGCTGACCTGCTCACGGCTCAAGCCACGTGGACTCGCCTCGAGACAATGCTGCGCATCTATAAGTCAGTCCGTCCACTTTATGTGGTCTGCACCCACTTACCCTCCTTTGCTCCTTGCTCTTATTTCCGCTGTTCCTTCTCTCACACCCTGACCTCCAATGTTGCGTTCTCACCCCCTATTTTCAACCACAGGATCTACGATTTCTCATTCCAGCTCAATCCACCAATCAACATCAACGCTGCTGCCACTGCCACGTCAGCTGCTGACGTCATCCCGGGTCGTGCCATGTCATTCGCCAGCTATCCCGGCCGTCTATTTTCCGGCGACGATTTTTACATCACCAGTGCCAGGCTGGCGATTCTGGTAACCTTCGAAACACCTCAGAGCTATCCCAGCTGTCTCTGGCAACATATCTTTATATCACCAGTGCATTAACAAGTCTTATATCACCAGTGCATTAACAAGTCTTATCACCAGTGCCAGCCTGGTGGGCATGCATTAACAAACATCCAGTCTCATGTCATTTTCTATGCTGTTTCCTGATCGTGACCCTCTTCTGCTTGCACTGCCACGTGTCACCAGGAGACCACCATCGGGAATGACAACGCTGAGCTGTATCGGCGCTACGTGAGGGCCAATGGCACGGTGAGTCAAATTTTGCATGATGATGCATGGGGCAATGGATGGGGCAATGGATGGGGCAATGGATGGGGCAATGGATGGGGCAATGGATGGGGCAATGCATGGGGCAATGCATGGGGCAATGCATGGGGCAATGCATGGGGCAACGGATGGGGCAACGGATGGGGCAACGGATGGGGCAACGGAAGGGGCAATGCATGGGGCAATGCATGGGGCAATGCATGGGGCAATGCATGGGGCAATGCATGGGGCAATGCATGGGGCAATGCATGGGGCAATGCATGGGGCAATGCATGGGGCAATGGATGGGGCAATGCATGGGGCAATGCATGGGGCAATGCATGGGGCAATGCATGGGGCAATGCATGGGGCAATGCATGGGGCAATGCATGGGGCAATGCATGGGGCAATGCATGGGGCAATGCATGGGGCAATGCATGGGGCAATGCATGGGGCAATGCATGGGGCAATGGATGGGGCAATGGATGGGGCAATGGATGGGGCAATGGATGGGGCAATTGATGGGGCAATGGATGGGGCAATGGATGGGGCAATGCATGGGGCAATGGATGGGGCAACGGATGGGGCAACGGATGGGGCAACGGATGGGGCAACGGAAGGGGCAATGCATGGGGCAATGCATGGGGCAATGCATGGGGCAATGCATGGGGCAATGCATGGGGCAATGCATGGGGCAATGCATGGGGCAATGGATGGGGCAATGGATGGGGCAATGGATGGGGCAATGGATGGGGCAATGGATGGGGCAATGGATGGGGCAATGCATGGGGCAATGCATGGGGCAATGGCTGTGTGTGCGGCAAGAAGTGTTAGATTCTGTCAACATAATTTCTTTCTTTTCTCATCCGCCCTTCATCACATGTCATCTTAATTTCTTTTCTTTTCCCAATACAAGCATGTCTCTTGATTGCTTCCCTGGTGTGTTCCGAGGTCATTCTCTCTTATTCATGTTTCGTCCTCCCTCTCCCCCTCCCCCGCCCTTTCCTCCTTCCCCCCCCCGCCCCCAGGTCCTGGAGTGGATCCGCAACATGGTGAACCAACCAAATGGCGAGCAAAGCAGAGGCGGACAGCTATTGCCTAGTCAGATCATACCATATTCTCCCCCCCCCCGCACTCCCCCCCCCCGCACTCCCCCCCCCCCCCCACTCCCCCCCCCCGCACTCCCCACCCCCTCTCCCCGCCCGCAGGTCCTCGAGTGGATCCGCAACGTGGTGGCCAACCGCGTGGCGAGCAGTGGGCGTCAGTGGGTGGACGTGTTCTCGCGGCACAACAGCGGCACGTACAACAACCAGTGGATGGTCGTCCACTACAAGCGCTTCCACCCAGGCCTACCTCCCCCAGATGACACCCTCTGGGTGCTCGAGCAGCTGCCGGGGTAGGTGTTGTGTAGGTTGCATGCAGGGTAGGTAATGTTATGTGTGGAGGGCTGTGCGGCACGTACAACAACCAGTGGATGGTCGTGGATTACACGCTCTTTCAACCAGGCCTACCTCCCCCGGGTAACACCCTCTGGGTGCTCGAGCAACTACCAGGGTAGGCGTTTGTGTGGGTTGCGTGCAGGTGGGGAAGGTCGTGTAAGGTGCAGCACGTACAACAACCAGTGGATGGTGGTGAGGTGGATTACAAGCTCTTTCACCCAGGCCCACCTCCCCCGGATCACACCCTCTGTTTGCTGGAGCAACTGCCGGGGTAGGTGATACGTCGGGTAGGTGTTATATTGGTTCGGTGTAATGTGGAGTAGGTCATTTGTGGCATGTGGTGGAGGTTAGCATTAGATCATTCTAAGGGGCTTTTGAGTCGGCTTAGAAGTCTTTCTCCCCCACTTTCCTGCAGGCGCATTGTCGCAGACGATATGAGCGGCCAGCTGCGTGACGAGGGCTATCGAGAGTCGTACATCAAAATCCCAATACTGGGAGTTGTACCATGCCCAGCAGCCCACCCCTTCCTCCACCCATTCTTCCACCCCTTCCACCTATTTTTACACCCCTCGTTACCTGCAGGCACATTGTAGCGGAGGATATGAGCGCCCACTTGCGTGACGAGGGCTACTGGGCGTCGTACAACAACCCGGCCTTCCCTGCCATCTTCAACCTCAGCGGATTCGCAGATCTGGGTACGTCGTTTCTGAAACGAATAAAAAATCTCACCCATCAGAGCATTTTCATGCCCCTTTCATGCACCCTTATTGCGCCCTTCCTGTGCATGCACTTGCACCAGTCTGTCTGTGTGTATGTGAGCGTGCTTGCGTGTTTGCGATGCGCTGTATTGATTTACAGCCCTCATATGCTTGAATGGTTTACAGATGTGCCACACCATGCCACACCATGCAACACCAACACACCGCACCGCACCACACCCCGCCCATCCATCAGAGCGGCGCCATGGCTCGTGGTTCTCCCACTCACAGTGCCCCCGAGCCAAGCTGTTTCGCCGGGACCACCGCAAGGTGCGTCGTAACTGCAGGAATCAGGGCACTGCGGGAGGGCGGGCGGGGGGGATGGGGGTGAGGCCGGGTAGGCTTGTTGTCTCCGCTTGCCGTGTGCACATACTCATGTGTGTATGTGCCCCGACTGCATGCCCCCATGACCCCATGCTTCCATGCCCCCATTGCTCTCAACAGGTGGTGGACGTGGCATCACTGCAGCGTCTCATGCGATACAACGACTACAAGCACGACCCACTCTCCGCCTGCAACTGCACCCCCCCTTACTCTGCAGGCATGCCCCTCTTGCTTTGCAAACCGTGTGTATCTTGAGTCGACTGGTCGTTTGGATCACTCCCCTGCATTAATCCCTCTTCACTCTCATCCACCCTCACTAGCAAACATCCTTTTGGTCTTTCAAAGAACTGGTTTTTTTTTTTTTTTTTTTTTTTTCTCAACCTGCCCTTTCCTGCCCAATCAGAGATTGCAATTGCTGCTCGTGGGGATCTGAACAAGGCAGATGGGCAGTATGAGTTGCCGTTCCTGGGCCTCAGGGACCACGCTGAGACTGACACCAAGATAACCGGGTAATTGTCCAATTTACCCTGGCTTGCTAATGTCACGCACCCACTGTTACCAGGCGATTGTGCACGACCATGCTTCATGGGCCATGTCATCATCGCCACGTCACCGTCACATCGTCACCCGCGTCGCCACATCAGCGCCACTTCATCACCACAGCCATAATGATTACCTTAACCATAACCAGAATGTTACCCATGGATGTAACCATAACCATGCCTGCAGGTACCACATGTTACAGCACAGCCTGGCAGCACTGGCAATAAGCGGGCCCACATACGACCAGCAGCCACCGTTCCAATGGAGCAAATCACCCTTTGCTAACGTCTCCCATCTGGTGAGTTGAACGGTCCACGCAGGTGCAGAGCGGTTTAGATGACTCACAGGGTTACCAAGCATATTCAGAGCGTTTTAGATTTCTCATTCTATGCTTCGCAACAGATGTTGTTCATATGGTGAATTTGAGATGTGAGGAAGGTTCAATGCATGTTGCGAGGAAGGTGCTGGCAGATGCCCGAGCATGTGAGAAGGTGCAAGAGAGTGATTTGCAAGGTGTGGGTTGTTAATTTTGCATATTAATTGATTTTTACACATGCTGATGTTGCATTTTTAGTGTGAGCCGTGTGCCGTGTGCTGCTCCCTGTGTGCCATGTGCCATGTGGCGTGTGCCTTGTACAATGCGCCATGCTGTGTGATATGTGCAATGTACTGCTTTGCTTTGATGCCATGTGCTATGACGCCATGTGCCATGATGCAATGTGCGATGATGCCATGCGCCATAATGTCATCTGCCCGGTGCTGCAATGCATGGTGCATGCTTACCAGGGCCATCCGGACCTCTTTCTCTTCCCATGGCTCACCATCAACTACGGCATGGAGGGCACTGGCACCAGTCCAGAGGGCATCACGAGCAGTATGGAGGGCACCAGCGGCAGTAGACTGTCTGTGCACGTCCATCCCCATTCCCAGCCACGCCAGCCAGGCACAGCCAACATGTAGGGTACAGCAGGGCTGTATGGAACAACGGCATGGGGATGTACGAAACATGTAGTGTACACTTGTGATGTGATATGGCTTGAACTGTTTGGACTTCGGTTCCTTCCATCCTGTGTTGAGCTGATGTCTTGTTCCGTAAGAACGGTAATGGTCCTCAATTTCATAAGTAGCATCCTAACAAATCACGAAGCAGCTATTTTCACAAAAAAATGCAGTGGTGTTCGGGAATCTACAATAGAATGCATTCAGCTGACGTCCTAAATATCAACCTCCTAATAATCGACCTCCTCGAGTGGTGTTCTGTCATGCCTTGGGAGGTGCTGGGGCAGTCGGAGATCCCGAGGTTCCCTCCGGCCCGTTGCTCCCAGACTTGGTCGTCGCAGCGGCGGTCAGCGCGGCGGCAGCGGCGGCGGCGGACCCAATCTTGACTCCGCCCGCTGCTTTTAACGCGCCGCCGATCTTAGCCGCTGCTGCCACTGACCCGGCTAACGCGGCGCGCAAGATCACTCCGAAATTCGGAGCCATGGTTGAGCGCAGCGCGCCTTCTTGTCCTCTCGAGCTCGGCTGTCAAGATTTGAAGCCCAATTTGCTTATCGAACCAATGCGCCAATCGTATTGGCCAGCTTGGCCACCTTTCGACTTGACGATAAGCTGAAAAGCCAACTCTACTGCAATTAAACAAAACACACGAGCTTTCCTACGGTTGAGCTGTGCATATCAGTAGCGAGCCGCGCGTTGATCATTGCATGAAGAGCTAAAGCTGCGGCGCTGAAAGGTAGTGATAAAGGCAAGAGCGTAGATTCTGGGGGCTATGAAAACATGTGATCAGTCTCCCGCTTGCGTGTGTGGGGGGAATACTGCTATAAGAATCTCCGATAGTCATTTTTGCATCGACATCGTGTAATAGATATGCATTTTTGTAGCCCCCTCCGTATCGAATCTCACTTCGAGCGGAACTCTTGCGCACCTTTCCACGGGCATTGCACCACCCCTCCCCCTGACATCGTCGCGCACGGAACAAGGATCCGCGAAACCTTTTCGGACCGTTTGCGCGCAGTGACGTACATTTCGCGCGCGATTCAGGTTTCGGGAATGGAAAACAGCGGCGGGAAGGGGAGAGCTGATCTGAAAGCATGATTCTGATCAGGCTGGTCATTTCCCGAAGTTTGACAATCCCAAGATTATCTGGAGGTTTCAGCCTGGAAGCAGGGGGTATGAGTCATACGGCGTGAAGCATCCCTAAAAGCTACTGGCAGGGCAGTATCTAATTTCGCGACTACTGTATCGTAGGTACAGCGGTTTGATATTTCGGGCTTTAAGTCTTGCTCAGTCGAGATCAAACGCGTGAAGGAGGTCTACTGATTAGGATCCGATCTCTGATACACTTCGCCTGACATCTCAGCGATCGTCGTTTCTATCGTAGCAGTTAGACATTGAAGTTCGTCACGCCAGTCTTTCTCTCCGTGTTAGTCCCTACATCTCAGCCGTACACCCGTTCGGGTCCTTCATTCGTAAACCTTTTTTCTTCAGTACATTTTCCAGCCTGAAGTCAAGCCGCGTATAACTCTGTGTTTTTCTTTCTTTCTTTTTATACGATCTCTTTCCTGATTCCAGTGACTTATTCTACCGTTAGATTGCCAATTGCTTACGTCCACCTCACGCCGTACGATCGACTCCCCTTGTCACCAATCACCGCCGTCGGATCCTCGGACGACTATCTCCGCATTGCGCCATGCCTCCGCGCGCCAGAAGAGGCGGGGCTTCTCGCAAGTCCCCCGCATCCACCTCTGCCCGCGGAAAGGCTTCCCCGGCCGCCGCCGCTTCCCCCGCTTCCCAGCGCCGAGCTTCCGACAGTCCCAGCGTTGCTGAGGTTCCTATCGCTGCGTCGCCGCTCGCTCTGCCTGGGAAATCTCCTGGAAAATCTCCTGCAAAATCTCCTGGGGGTCCTGCTGCGGTTGACGGGTCGCCAGGGCAGATTGGCAGACAGCTGAGGAGCCAGAAGCCTGGAGAGTCTCCGAGCCTGCCGAACGGAGGGTCACCGAATCCTCGGGGAAGGAAGCGAGGGTCGTTAGACGGGGAGAAGGACGCTAAGAGGCGGAAGTCAAGCGAGAGGGGCAAGGGAGGTGAGTGCGCGGAGGGGTTTGGGGGAAAGGGGAGGGTTGGGGTTGGACAGATGGAGGAGGAATAAGGAGGGGAAAGGAAAGGGGGGAGAGGAGGGGATGTGAATGGTTTTAACGACTGTTCGCTGTCATAAGTTTAATTTCTGATGTCATTGCAATTTCATACAGACTGGTGCCTCGCACACGGCTCACTCGCGCCTCTCCTCTCTCCTCCCACCCCAGCCGCATCACCAGCAGGAAAGGCCGCATCGCCAGCAGCACGCAGAGCAGGGAAGGCAGGGAAAGCGGGGAAAGAAGGGGAAGCGGGGGAAGGAGGGGAAGGAGAGGAAGCAGAGGAGACGGTAAAGCTGGAAAAGGCTGACGAGGCTGTAGAGAGAGAGGACGAGGGGGACGCGGGCGAAGATCAGGGGGTTTCAGGCGAGGAGTCTCCGGCAGAAGGGGAGCAGCAACGGCGGGGCGCGCGCAGAGCACGCGGAGAAGGCAGGGGGGCAGCGGGAGGCGCAAGCAGAGGCGCAGGGGCTCGCGGACGGGGTCGCGGACGGGGGAGAGGGGGAAAGGCTGGCGCTGGGCTTGTTTCCCCTGACCGCCCCATGTCCCCAGGGGGAGCGGCAGGCGCGGGGAAGGGGAGAGGCCCCAGGAAGCGGTCCCCTGCTCCCCCTATCCATGCTGATGGGGAGGCAGGCGGAGCGGGGAAAGGGGGAAGGGGCGGGGGAGGTGCTGGGGGCGGGGGGGCTGCGGGAGGGGCGGGGAGAGGCGGGGAGGAGCTGCAGGAGGTGGTGCATGAGGCTGGGGCGGCGGGGAGTGCGATTGTGAGGGATGAGAAGGCGTTGGACTCGGTTGTGAAGGTGTTCTGCGTGCACACTGACCCTAACTTCTCCCTCCCCTGGCAGCGCAAGAGACAGTACAGGTATGTCTGTTCTCAAATGGGTGTGCAAAAAGGCTGGGCGTTTGCGCTCCTTTGCCTCCCCGTTTGGCCTTCCATTTATGATTCTCCTCCCCTCTCTCGTATCATTAAGTCTTCCGTCCTCACCCCGTTCTTTTTTTCCTTCCATTTGCCCATTCACTCCAGTCCTCCATCCCCTTTGCCCTCCAGCTTTCCCATTCCCCCCCCCTTTCCCCTCCTTTTCCTCAACATTTCGCCGTTATCCCTCACCTGTTCACTATCCTTGCTCGCTCGTTTACCTCCTCCCCCCTTCCCCCTCCCCTTCCCCCTCCCCTCCCCCCTCCCCTTCCCCCCCCCCCTTCCATCTCCGCTCCCCCCTCGCCTTCCCCCTCAACTTTGCACACGCATCAGTTCCAACAGCAGCGGGTTCATCATTGAGAACCGCCGTGTGCTCACCAACGCGCACTCGGTGGAGCACCACACGCAGGTGGGGATGGGATGAGATGCGCAAGTTCAGGTGAGGCACAGCCAGGTGGGGAGCACAGTCAGATGAGCAGCACAGTCAGATCAACATCCTTTCTGTCTCCACTCGCCTCCTCATTTCCATGTTGCTCCAGCTCCTCAACTCCAATCCTTTTCGTTTCCTGCACACCCTTGCGCCACGCCCTTTCTCCACGGTCCACCCCGCAGGTGAAGGTGAAGGTGAAGAAGAGGGGGTCAGACACCAAGTACCTCGCAACCGTCCTCGCTGTGGGCACTGAGTGCAACTCCATTCCCTTCCTTTTCCCTCACACCCTGTGCAACGCCCGTCCCTCCTCCACCCCGCAGGTGAAGGTGAAGAAGAGGGGGTCAGACACCAAGTACCTGGCAACGGTGCTTGCTGTGGGCACTGAGTGCGACATAGGTATGCATATTCGCCTTCTTATTACTACGTAGTGGTGTAGTTCTATCCACATTGTCTTTCCTGTCCCTTCCATGTGCCCTTTTCATCCCCCACATTAAGCCCTCGTTTTCCCCCCCTCCTCACCCACTCTTCCCCACCCATGCGGCCCCCTTCTCCCTGTCACGCACTCACTCGCACAAAACTCATGGGTTGCAGCGCTGCTCTCGGTGGAGGATGACGAGTTCTGGAAGGACGTGCAGCCACTCAAGCTGGGATCTCTCCCGCACCTCCAGGTATGGCTGGGGCTTAGCGCACCTGCATGTAAGGTTGTGGTCTCTACTGCACCTGGGGGCACAACACTTCCATGAACTCAGGCCAATATCCCCATACACAGGCCCCTTCACTCCCCCTCTTTCCCCTGACCCTCTCCCCCCGCCCCTCCCCTCCCATCCTTCCAGGACCCAGTGACAGTGGTTGGTTACCCCATTGGTGGAGACACCATCTCAGTGACCAGCGGAGTGGTGTCACGCATCGAGGTGACAGCGTATGTGCACGGGGCGTCAGAGCTGCTGGGCGTGCAGATAGACGCCGCCATCAACTCAGAACACTATCCCCATCCCCAGGCCCTCTAACTCCCCCTCTTTCCCCAACCCTTCCCTGCCCTCTTTTTCACCTTCCAGGACCCGGTAACAGTTGTTGGTTACCCGATAGGCGGCGACACAATCTCAGTGACGAGCGGCGTGGTGTCGCGCATAGAGGTGACAGCGTACGTGCACGGGGCGTCGGAGCTGCTGGGCGTGCAGATCGATGCTGCCATCAACTCGGGCAACTCGGGCGGGCCGGCGTTCAACGCGGCGGGCGAGTGTGTGGGAATTGCCTTCCAGTCGATGCGCGGGGACGAGGCGGAGAACATCGGGTACATCATTCCCACGCCCGTCATCAACCACTTCATCTCCGACTATGATCGCAACGGCCACTACACCGGTGGGTGCTGTAGGAGCTTGCTCAAGAGGGACTTAACCCTCAAAATTCTCGCCTATGTCCTGAGAGAAGCCCCGGAAACAATGATTGTGATCAATCATTTGATGTCCGACTACACAGCACGGGCACTACAACACCGTTCGCACTCCTGCCCTCCCGGCCTCTCTTTCTCTCCCTGTCAACCTCTTCCTGGTGTGCTCTCCAGGGTTCCCCGTAGTGGGGGTGGAGTGGCAGAAGATGGAGAATCCAGGCATGCGCAAGGCATCGGGCATGGAGGTGGTGCAGAAGGTGTAAATGCTGCCTTGACTCACCTCAACTCGCCCTTCCTATCCCCATCCCCAATCCCACTCCCTCCTCTCTCTATGTTCTCCCCAGGGTTTCCCATCCTGGGAGTGGAGTGGCAGAAGATAGAGAATCCAGACATGCGCAAGGCGCTGGGGATGGAGGCGGGGCAGAAGGGCGTGAGGGTGAGACGGGTGGAACCCACCTCGCCTGCCGCGCAGCTGCTGCAGACATCCGACATCATACTGTCCTTTGATGGCGTTGCTGTTGCTAATGACGGCACAGGTGCGTGTGAATGTGTGTGCGATGGGAGGCTATGTTGAGATATTGTTGAGATATTGCATCTCGCCTGCCGCACAGCTGCTGCAAGCGTCAGACATCATACTGTCCTTTGATGGCGTGGCAGTGGCAACTGATGGCACAGGTGCGTGTGTGTGTGTGACTGTGTGTGCTACTTGTTTAATGTCACAACTTCCCTGCCGCCCAGCTGCTGCAGCCGTCCGACATCATACTGTCCTTTGATGGCGTGGCAGTCGCAAATGACGGCACAGGTGCGTGTGATGATCTGATGGCTTGAGGGTGGTGAGTGGCGGCACAGGTGCGTGTGATGATCGTGAGACGGCACGGCTGCACTCTGGAGGTGACTCAACTCAACAAGGTGCCACCCAGCTGCTGCAAGCGTCATACATCCTGCTGTCCTTCGCTGGCGTGGCAGTGGCCAGCGATGGCACAGGTGCATTTTATAGTATTCCAAAACATACTTTTCGCATTTCCTCCACCTAGATTCCCCGCCCCTCCTCCCTCCTCTCCCTCTCCCCATCCGCCCCCATACCTTGCATCGCCCACCCTCAAAATCCTCCTTCTCTTCTTCCCCCTGCCTCCCTTCCCCCAGTGCCATTCCGCAAGGGTGAGCGCATAGGCTTCAGCTACCTGGTGTCTCAGAAGTACGAGGGCGAGACGGCGCAGATCAACGTGCTTAGGGCCGGCAAGGTGCTTCAGCTGGAGGTGGAGCTGAGGAGGCACAAGCGGCTCGTGCCCGTGCACATCGCAGGGCTGCCCCCGTCGTACTTCATCGTTGCGGGAATTGTCTTCACCTGGGTGACTGTGCCGTACCTTCGGGCAGAGGTGAGTAGGTGTGTGGGGCAGGGCTTGGGGACGAGTGGGCTGTTAGCGGCATAAGCGGCTGGTGCCTGAAGGCACAGAGCAAGGTGTGCTGCAGCTGCAGGTGGAGCTGAGGCGGCACAAGCGGCTCGTGCCCGTGCATATCGCAGGTCTGCCACCGTCGTATTTCATTGTTGCGGGAATTGTCTTCACTTGGGTCACTGTGCCGTACCTCAGGGCTGAGGTGAGGGCTTAGATGGTCAAGGTTTTCGAAGACCAGATGCGGCATGGTGGTGCTGCAGCTGAGGTTAATTGCAGTGACCCAGGTGAACACAATTCCAGTAGCAATGAAGTGGGAGGGAGGCAGCCACTTGCGGCGCCACAAGTTGCTGCCTCTTTCCTACTTGATTGTCGCGAGGATTGTGTTTATCTGGATCACTGAGCCATTCCTTAGGACAGAAATGAGGCTTGTTCGTTTTAACATTGTCTAGTGAAGTTTTGGATAAGTTGATGCACCGCACCGCATGAGACACTCACGCAGATGCTCCTTCCTATCCACCCACCTACCAACAGCTTGCCGCTCTTGCTTGACAAATGCTCCTCGCAAACCCTTGTGTGCTTGCTTCCTAACAGTACGGCAAGGACTATGACTTATTATATCTATCCCTCATGTTGTCCGTTGTTCCCTCGTGTTCCTTCCTAACAGTACGGCAAGGACTATGACTACGATGCGCCGGTGAAGCTGCTGGACAAGCTGATGCACCGCATGAGACAGTCAGAAGCATGCTCCTTACCCACCCAACCATGCTGCTATTCCCTGGCCACTGCTCCTTCCAACTCCCTGTGTACGTGCGTGCTTGCTTGCTTCCTAACAGTACGGCAAGGACTATGACTACGATGCGCCGGTGAAGCTGCTGGATAAGCTGATGCACCGCATGAGGCAGTCAGATGATGAGCAAGTAGTGGTCATCTCACAGGTGCGTGATTGTAACGAGTGTGTTACTGTAACAGGTCCATGACTTTAACGAGTGTGGGTCTGTAACGAGTGTGGGTCTGTAACAGGTGCATGATTATGCCGGGCCTGTGGTTCGGGGAGGTGATTGATGGTACAGTCTTTCAGTGTGGTTACAGACCCACACTCGTTACAGACCCACACTCGTTACAGTGTAACATCGGGTATGAGGAAGTGCTGAACGCACTGGCGCGCCGTTGAAGAAAGATTGTGACATACATGTCAAGTGTAAACCCTTGCTGCGTGTATTCCCTGTCCCCATGCCCAGGTGCTCGCGGCAGATGTGAACACCAGGAATGAGGAGGTGGTGAACACTCAGGTGATGGCGGCTCACTCTCTCATCCTCCTGTTGTGTGTATGCCCTTCCCTGACCCCCTTCCCCGACCCCCTTCCCTGATGCGCCTCCCTCGTGCCTTTTTCCCATGCGCAGGTGCTGGTGGCAGATGTGAACATCGGGTACGAGGACGTGGTGAACACGCAGGTGGTGGCGTTCAACGGCGTGCCGGTGAAGAACCATGGTGGGGCATATGTGTCAAGAATAAAACCCTGATGCGTGTATGCCCTTCCCCAACTCCCTTCCCCTATGCCCATCCCTCGTGCGCTTCCCCATGCGCAGGTGTTGGTGGCGGATGTGAACATCGGGTACGAGGACGTGGTGAACACACAGGTGGTGGCTTTCAATGGCGTGCCCGTGAAGAACCTGCTGCAGCTCGCTCGCCTCGTGGAGGAGTGCACCGAGCCCTTCATGCAGTTTGACCTCGACTATGATCAGGTATGTTGTTCAGTTATGGGAGATTGATAGTGGGTCTCCAGTAGGTGTTGGCTGGTGGAGGAGTGCACCGAGGTGTTCATGCATTGTATTGTCAAGCCGAGACCCGCTGTTGTCCAAAAGCATACATTATGCATGCATCTTTAGATGTGTTTGTACGGATGGGCATGAGTGTGTGTGTGCAGGTGTTGGTGCTGGAAACAGCAAAGGCCAAGGATGCGACACCTGCCATTCTTGAGATGCATTGCATCCCATCCCATTGCTCCAAAGACATCAAAGAAGGCCATCTGTCCGCGGTTGTGTGATAAGGAAGAGGCGTGATAATATAATGAAGAGACCATTGAATTTAATTTAGGTAATTCAGGAACGTATACGGCATTGATAGTGCGTTTAGGTCGTTAGATCAGCCGCTCTTGCCTTTTCTCACAGGAATCTCCAGGTTTGACTAATGTTACCCCCTAATGTAGAACAGATGACTAATTTTGAAATTCTCTATTCATTGTCCAATTGGGAAAAATCTTGTACACTAATGATGAAGTCTCAATTTGCTCAATACCGGGTTCGGCCCATGCCGATATCCAGCCTTGTAGCTCTGGGCTCGCAGCTGCTCCACGATGCAGCGGTGTCTCGACCTTACATATCACTACCGCTAGCTACCTCAATAGCGAACGAACTATTTCCGCGCGCCGGCTGACAACTAGTTCAACGACACGCATCATATATAAGGATCAATGTCTATTTGGTGAGGTTGGCGTCGGAGAGACTCTCTCATTTTGTTCTCATGCTACGCTCGCGTTGTGTTTCGCCCTCGCCTTATTTGATTGATCCCCTAGTTGTTCCTTCCAACCTATGAGCTGAACTGAAGACAGCCTCTGGTTGTTTCTCGCCGATCGTCATGCCAGTGCTAACCCTAGGTAAAACCTAAGATTCTACCTAGTTTTAGGCTCGCTTCGAGCCGTCTTACTCGCGCGACATCGACCTAGATCCATCAATGACTGGAGACGGGACCATGCATACTTCTTCGTTAATTCATGCCGTTTCCATCGCCAGCGTCGCATTGCTGCTGGTAACTCGGTCGCTAGCTGTCGGCGATCATCTAGTCGGCGGGAGGTTGCAAGCAGACGAAGGGCTCAAGCGCGGTCACGAGCTCTACAAGGTGCGTCTGTCTGTCTGTTTGTGACTTTCGAGTCGGCTCAAAGGGGTTTCCTTTCTGCTGTGGCGGCGGGAGCCTTCTCCACGAGGTGACGTTTGAGTCGGCTCGAAATTCATCTTGGAGGGCTCAAGCGCGGTCACGAGCTGTACAAGGTGCGTCGTTCGATGGTTCAGTCATCTGGTTACTTAAAGCACATGTCGAGGTGTCTCACTCTACCCCTTTGAACCGCACTCTTCCCCATACCTCCAACACTTCATGCGAATCCCTTTCCTCCTGACCGTAACCCTTCTTGCCAGTCCCTCCCCACTTTTCCCCAACACTTCCTTTCGATCACAGCAATGGGAGGTGGCGTACGGGCTGCAAAAAGAGTCTCTTCTGCCCCCGGAAAAGATTCCCCTGCCCGCTGACGTGGCAGCAGCTCCGCATTTGGAGGCGTGCAGCGAGGTGTCAAAACACAGAGTGGCGGCGGAGCAGCGAGGGCCCAATGGGGAGTCGCCCGAGTGGGCTCGACCTAAAGACTGCTGCGGCTGCAACCCACAGCCGCCATGGGTGGGTATGGGTGGGTATGGGTGGGTACGGGCCTGTATGGGTGTGTATGGGTGGGTGTGGGTGGATATGGTTTTGTATGTGATTGGCATGGTTTGAGTCGATCATAAGTCACCTTGTCGGGACACAGACTGGCGGCGGAGCAGCGAGGGCCCAATGGGGAGTCGCCTGAGTGGGCTCGACCTAAAGACTGCTGCGGCTGCAACCCACACCCGCCTTGGGTGTGTATGTGATGTGACTGTCTCATATTTTCAAGTGTGTTTACGCATTATCAGGCATTGCCCCCTTGTTCTTCAAGAAGCATGATCAAACAACTTTATCAGCGGTGCCTTGGCCAGCATCCCTCTGTTCCCCATCACATCACCTTACCTGCTCGTGACGTCAGTCAACAACCTTCAACACCTCCTTACCCCTGTCTCCCCCGTTCTCTCCCTCATCCTTATTCCTCCTCCGTGCAGATTCGTGGGTCAGACGCAGCCAATCTGGGCATGACACGTGTGGCACAGAGGGACATCTGGGAGCATCAGTTCCCGCCCAATCGGTGTGAGGGGCGGCGCCTGCTCATTGCTCACTGGGCCTACATCGCCCATGGGATCGGGTCGCAGGTGAGTGAGTAGAGAGTGAGTGTGATTATAACCAGTTGGCTTAGTTGCGGAAGACGCGTCTAGCGTCTTAGACGCTGCGTCTAGACGCAGCGTCTAAGACGCTAGACAGTATAGATTGACGAATATTAGACGGAAACCAGGGCAGGCCAAAAAAAAGTTCGGGCAGACCAAAAAAGTTTTATGGGGCATGGGAAGGGTGGAGGACATGCACCTATGTCACAATGAGGTGAAATTTTCCTCGTACCATAAAATTTTCCCCATTCTAAGACTTCACAAACATTTTCACATCTCATCACATATGATTGGGGGGGATTCAAATTTGCTTGTGGGGCTGGTTTATATGGTCTAAATGGGTGGGAAGGGGTTCTAATGGCGTGAAATTGAATTTCGCGCTGAAATGGCGAATTTCAATTTCGCGCGCGCGATTTTTTTTCGGGCTGCTCGAATATTTTTCGCCCAAGCGTCTTGCCTCTAAAAGTGTGTCTTGCGTCCAGCGTCGAGACGCTGCGTCTAGACGCTAGACGCAAGACGCGTGTTCCCCATCAGTTTCCCCATCAGATTCCCCATCAGGTTCGTCCCCATCAGGTTCGTCCCCATCAGGTTCGTCCCCATCAGGTTCGTCCCCATCAGGTTCGTCCCCATCAGGTTCGTCCCCATCAGGTTCGTCCCCATCAGGTTCGTCCCCATCAGGTTCGTCCCCATCAGGTTCGTCCCCATCAGGTTCGTCCCCATCAGGTTCGTCCCCATCAGGTTCGTCCCCATCAGGTTCGCCCCCATCAGGTTCGCCCCCATCAGGTTCGCCCCCACCAGGTTCGCCCCCATCAGGTTCGCCCCCATCAGGTTCGCCCCCACCAGGTTCGTCCCCATCAGGTTCGTCCCCATCAGGTTCGTCCCCATCAGGTTCGTCCCCATCAGGTTCGTCCCCATCAGGTTCGTCCCCATCAGGTTCGCCCGCATCAGGTTCGTCCCCATCAGGTTCGTCCCCATCAGGTTCCCCCCCATCAGGGTTCCCCCCATCAGGTTCCCCATCAGGTTCCCCATCAGGTTGCAGAAGACGCGTCTGTCTAGACGCAGCGTCTAAGACGCTAGACAGTATAGATTTGACGCAGTATTAGACGGAAACCCGTGCAGGCCTAAAAAGAAGTTCGGGCGGACCAAAATAAGTTTTATGGGGCACGGGGAGGGTTGGGGACATGCACCTATGTCACAATGAGGTGAAATTTTCCCCGTACCATAATTTTTTCCCCATTCTAAGACTTCACAAATTTGTTCACATCTCATCATATATGATTGGGGGGGACTCAAATTTACTTTGGGGGCTGGTTTATATGGTTGAAATGGGTGGGAAGGGGTTCTAATGGCGTGAAATTGAATTTCGCGTCGAAATGGCGAATTTCAATTTCGCGCGCGTGATTTTGTTGTCCGGGCTGCCCGAAATTTCCGCCCAAGCGTCTTGCGTCTAAAAGTGCGTCTTGCGTCTAGCGTCGAGACGCTGCGTCTAGACGCTAGACGCAAGACGCGTATAGCGTCTTCCGCAACTCAGCCAGTGGGTAAGGCATTCCATTTTACATGTGCACTGGCTTCTCACTGCTCATTGCTCCATGGGCCTACATCGCCCATGGGATTGGGTCGCAGGTGAGTGAGTGTGAGTTTTGCAGTCCAGACATTGCATTTCCTTCATTTCCCCCCCACCCCTCTCCTGCTCGCCTTTCATCCCTCCCTCGTGCCCTCTTCTTCCCCACAGGTGCACATTTCTTCTAACGGCTATTCTCAGCCTAGCCATCAGCACAACGCTCCCTGTTTCGTGCCCACAACCATCCTCCCCCCCTCCCCTCCCACTCCGCCTCCCTTCATTCCTCCTTCTCTGCATAGGTGCACGTAACGACGACCACTCTCAGCCTAGCCATGCGCCTCAACCACCTTGCTTACTTTCCTCCCTCCCCTCGCCCCCCTCGCCCCTGTTCCCCTTTTCCGCCCCTCTCCTTTCCTCTTCTCTGCACAGCTGCACATAATAACGGCCATCCTGAGACTGGCCATGCGCCACAACCGCACACCCTCCCCCTCCCCTTCCCTCCACCTTCCTGTCATAACAGCCACCTCATTCCCTCTCCCGTTTCTCCCCTTTCCTCCCCTTTGGTCGCCCCACACAGTTGCACATAGTAACGGCCATTCTCAGCCTGGCCATGCGCCACAACCCCCCCCACCCCCCCTCCACCTTTCTGCTATAACCGCAACATTGTTCCCTCTCGGTCTCTCCCCTTTCCCCCCCTTTGGTTCCCCCACAGTTGCACATAATAACGGCCATTCTCAGCCTAGCCATGCGCCACAACCGTACGCTGGTTCTCCAGTATCCGTCGTTTGACCGCGCCAAGCACGACGAGTGCAATGGTGAGTCTGCTTATAGCGAGTATGATGGTCAGTGTGCTTATAGCGTGTGCAGTGGTGATTGTGCTTACAGCGAGTGCAATGGTGAGTGTGCTTGTAGCGACTACAGTGAACAACACACACATGGGAGCCACAGCCACTCTTGTGCTGCCTGCCATGTATCAGTCTTTCGACCGTGTCAAGCGCAGCACATGCGATGGTGAGTATGCTTATAGCGAGTACATCATTCTCGCATCAGCCTTTTAATGAGCCAGTCACACGCTGCTGTCCAATGCCCATCCCCTCCCCGCCCTTCTCTCACATATACTTCCTCACCCCCCTCGCCCATACCAGCCACAGGAGGATGGGGCACGTTCAACTGTTACTTCTTCCTGCTGACCTCCCCTGACCGCAAAGAGGCCACTTCTAAAGCCAACTCTATTCTTCCCTTCCTTCTACCCCTCCCCTTCCTCCCACCTCCTGCCTCTCCCCCCGCCACATACCAGCCACAGGAGGATGGGGCACGTTCAACTGCTACTTCTTCCCTCTCACCTCCCCTGACTGTGAGGAGATCGCCCTCAACTCCAACAGCACGGGGTCGCTGCCCCCCTGCTGCACGCCCGACACCAAAGAGGAGGTTCTTGCGTCAGATCATCCAATCGTGTGCTTCCATGGGGAGCCTTTTAATGGGCTTCAGTTCGAAGCTAGTATTGCCAGGTGAGTGGAGATATGGTCAGGTTAGGCTAGGTGGGGCAACAACAGCAGCGGGTATTTGATCACCCAGCACGCACCACCCATCACACCCACCTGCTAGCATCGGATCATCCAATCGTGTGCTTTCATGGGGTGCTTATTAACGGGCTTCAGTTCGAAGCCAGCATTGCCAGGTGAGCGTGGGTCTTAGATCGCCCACCACCCATCACACTCACCTGCTGCACGCTCAGCGCCAAGGAGGAGGTGCTAGCATCGCACCACCCCATCATTTGCTTCCATGGGGAGCTCTTCAATGGGCTTCAATTTAAAGCCAGCATTGCCAGGTGAGCGTGAGTCTTGGATCAACCAGCACCCACCATCCAGCACGCCCCCCTGCTGCACGCCCGACACCAAGGAGGAGGTGCTAGCATCGCACCACCCCATCGTGTCCTTCCATGGGGAGCCCTTCAATGGGCTTCAATTCAAAGCCAGCATTGCCGGGTTAGGGATGGGTGAGGTGAGGTGAGGTGGAAAGTATGCATGAAGCTAGCATTGCCAGATGAGTGGGGTGAGTGAACGCTATGCATGAGGGACTTTCTTAAGGTGAGTGGGGAGGAGGCGAAATAAAGGAAACAGGTGTCTTTTCAGGTCTCTCGAGACTTGTCTCATTCAGAGGCACCTCAGAACGTGTCTTTTACTCCAATGAAAAGCAGCAAGTGTCACTGCGTGTGACACATCTGAGACGCCTCGACCCGCCCGCCATGCCTTCCCCATGTATTTCCTTGCAAGTGCTACCGCACGGCCTACTTGGAATGACGTGTTCAGATGCGTCAGCACACAAGCCCTTCTCCCCCGTTGCGTGTTTTCTCTTATCAGCCAGTGGGGCACGGCCTGTTTGGAGCGACCCAAATTGATAGAGCGGCAGGGGCAGGTGGAGGGAGACGTTTGAAAGAGTCTCAGCATGCTCTGCATCACTCCATTTGAGTCGACTCAAAAGATTGTTTACAAGAGTCTCAGCTTGCAGTGCATACTTCTTCCTGCTCCCCCTTGTGCGCCCGTATCAGCCAGTGGGGCACGGCTTACCTGGAGCGACCCAACATGATAGAGCTGCAGGGGCAGGTGGAGAGGGACAATCCCTTGCACATGAAGGTGAGAGATGAGCACGGTGGGGTGCGGTAATGTGAATCAGTAGAGAGGTGGTGTGCGGTGATGCATACCAAAAGGGCGTGGTGAGGTGGAGCTGCAGGGGCAGGTGGAGAGGGACAATCCCTTGCACCTCAAGGTGAGAGATGTGCATGGTGGAATGCGGTGATGTGGGTCAGTGGAGAGGTGGGGTGCAGTGACGTGCGCTTCATGCTGCGTTGGCCCTCGCCGTCCCTCTGCCATCTCATCAACCGCATCCAACCGCATCCGATCCCTACTTTCCCCTTTCCCCTTGCAGGTCCACTGGTGGCGCAGCCAGGCGCTGCGCTTCATGCTGCGCTGGCCCTCGCTGTACCTCTGCCATCTCACCAACCGCATCCGCCACGGTGCCTACGGGTTGCGCGTGGCCACCCACACCGTACAAGCCCGCGATCGCAGCGCCGCCCTCCTCCGCCTCTACAATGACCACCTCGCTGCTGCCTCCTCCTCTTCCCTCGCTGCTGCCTCCTCCTCTTCTCTCTCCGCCTCTGGGACTGATGTGCTATCCTCAACGCCTCTCCGCCCCTTGAGTGTCAACCTCACCGAACCGTCTTTCCTTTCCTTTGCCGACCCATCCATGCAACTCCGGGCCTGGCCCGGGCTCGGCGTCGCCAGCTGCTCAGGCTCGGCGAGCTCTCCCGGGCCTGCGCCCAGCTTCCGAGCCTATCTGACGAGGCTGTATGAGGGGGTGGGACGGGAGGTGTACATGCCTCGGCCGATGGTGAGCCTGCACATCAGGCAGGGGGACAAGGGGAGTGAGATGAAGCTGAGCTCTTTCAACTCCTTCATGTTCTATATGCACCGCCTCAGACTCCACGTTCCTGACATCCGATTCGTGTGGATCAGCACTGAAATGCAGGTGAGGCAATCTCAAGGTGCAGGATTCTACAGGAGAGTATCTTAAGGTGAGAGATTCCCAAGGTGCTGAAATCCCAAGGTGAGGCGGTCTCAAGGTTTTCAATGACCAGTCAAGTATCTCACAAGAAACTACTTGACTAGTCAATCAACCACGAGCGCACCTGCTTCCCTTCACCTCTCTTTTCCAGCGTCCACCACACGCCTCAACTCAAACACGCCTCCCCTTGCTCCCCTCCCACCAGTCTGTGATTGACCAATCAGCGCAGTTCAAGGACTGGACCTTCTTCTACTCACAGAACGAGAGGCAGCTGGGCGACATGCGGCTGATAGACTACGAGAAGAAGGCCGGCCGGGCACAGCTCGTGGGGGTCAGCTTTGCCAACCTGATTATCTCGTCCGAGTGTGATTATTATGTGGGCGTTCTTGGTTCCAACTGGAACCGGCTGATCAATGAGATGCGGGCCACGAGTGGCAGGGTGTTTGCTGGGTATGTTGCGATCAACAATGGTGAATTCTAGTTGTGACCTGTTTTGAACGTTCTGGTTGTTGTGGCTAACTTAGGTGCGCTGAAGTATAATGGAATCAGACGAGATCAGCCATTCTCCATGTCATGTCCTTGTTTCCCAGTTGTTTCCCTGATAACAGAATGGTGGTCACAGGGTGTGCCACAATAAGCATGTCACTACAATCGACTGTACCAAATGAGGATACACACATCTCCAGGCCACCTGTCTGCAAGCACTTTCAGTGCAGGAATCAAATAATTATTGTACCACAAGTTGCCCCAGTTCAGGGGCTCATCCTAGTTTGGCTTCTCAACTCAACCAACACAATACAACTGAGCAAAGTAGGGTAGCCATTGTATAGTTGCCACGTGAAGTCTAAGGGTACATTCCGCTGTGGACATGCGTCCCAATCGATGTGTCCCAATCGGGTGTACCGCTCCGAACCGCACTAAACCAGAGAAGCGAAAATTTTGAAACTAGGGTGTAATTCGGTGTAATAAGATGCAGTGCGGTAGAATCGATTGGGACCAGGGCTAATTTTATCAGTGTAAATCACCCTGATACCCTGATAATCAGGGTGATTTTTTATGGTCACACTGATGGCCTCGGGTAATTTTTTCGAGAAATAGGTTTACCCTGATGTGTCAGTTTTTTTGTGTAAGGCACACTGATGCCAAGGGTTTCTGAATCCCGTAACGAGTTTTACCCTGTACCGAGTACCCCCCCCCCCCAACCCCGCCCCCTGGTACACCCACCCCCCCTTTCCCGTAAGATGGGAATCCCGAAATGCAACTTTCGAAGCCGGAATTTCGGCCTTGTCAACTCATGTGCTGGCACACGGTGGGCCACCATTGGCCAGGATAACAGTTTCTTTTTGGCAGCGCCACCGACGCAACTCGGTCTCCTTGTCTGGCATGACAGTATGGCCGGGTTAGCTGGAAACGTGGCTGACTACGAGCCAGAGGAGGAAAGTGACCACGATAAACACCCTTGCGGCTTGTCTGATGACGATGATTAAATTCTGTATTGAGTGCTTTTAGTAAAATGTACAATCAGGCTATATTTTAATTGAACACTGATGAGCCAGGGTTTTTTTTTCGATAATTAGCTTTACCCTGATGGAAAAGTTTTCCCACGAGGGGTCACACTGATCCTAAACCCAAAACGCTTGGGGCACACTGATGATAAGGGTTGGTCAAAACGAAAAATTTGGCCTGATTGGGACACATCGATTGGGACGCATGTCCACAGCGGAATGTACCCTAAGTGTGCAGTGCTCTCAGAAGTCAATACTGGAGCAGCGGGCAGGGATTTCAAACACCTCGTTTGCCCCCCATCTCACCTTCTTCTGTCCCTGCACCTGCTTTGCCATGCCACCCCTCCTCAGATTGGATGGCTTCGTCAAAATCACAGATCCGTTACCACACGTTCCAGACCTCGTTATATGCACATTGCGGGGGTCTGCTGGTGCCTCGCCAACGTCACTGGAGGTTCGGCGGATGCCAGACGTACAGTTTGGCAAGCCGCCTGCTTGGCTGATGACATCGTACGAAAATGAACGGCTGAAGTTTTGTTGCTGCCCGCTGCTGCTGCCCGCTGCAGAGCCTAGTTTCACAGATCCCAGTCCCTGGCGAATCGCCTGAGTGACATCGCCCGCGAGTTCGTCAGACGAATTTTCATTCGCGACCCAGCTGCTGGTAACTCCTGGCTGCCCATCATTGGCCGCGGGAATTGAGAAAGGTGGGAATTCTGCGCGGAACGCCGAGACTGCAACTTCCGCAGCTGCGTTGATTTCACGCGCGCAATCACCTTCCGCGCGCTGTTCTGCTTCTGCTTCCGCGTATGCTGCGCTCGGAGCTTGCGCCCGAAGCTCCGCGAGTCTTTTGAGCTCCGCGCCGTTTTCGGATGGCGCGAGCGGGGGAAGGGTTTGCGCGAGAGAGGGGGAGAATAGCGACATCCACGCGCGGTGCTTCCGCCGCTGCTCGTCCAAGGCCAGCAGCGGATGCTGCTTCGCCGCCGCCGCTTGCGCCACCTGCTCTTGTTGCGATTCGCGCTGCTGTTGCTGCAGCCGCAGCGAAAACGCGGACGGAACCGCGTGTTGAGGCGCTCCGAATGACCTGATATGATGCGACGGCTGAATTTGAGCCGTGGGCGGCGCGCAGCTCGCGGGGACGCTTATAGCGGGTACCGGCCGCCAAGTACTGTCAGACAGCACGGGCGCCTTCGGCGGAAGCGGCGGAAGGTGCAACGTCCTCGGCTTCGCCATGCTAATCCTCTCCATTATAACGGGGCTGCTTATAGGCGAAGTGAGATCACTCGCACAGCTATCGACTGACGTAGCCGGCGATGACGGACCGCCCGTCAGGACAGACGACGGCGATGATTCCACAAGAATCCGGTTACCGGGTTTACCCCCGCGACCTCCGCCGCCACTTGCGCCGCCGCTGTTAATGTCCTCCATCGAGCAGCTTCGGCGAAACTCTCGCTTGCCGTTTCTCGAGTCGCCGCAAAGGCCGCCGAGGTTTCTGTCGCTAGCCGAGGCTCGCAGCGGCGAATGCGATAAGGTTCCGCGAATACCGGCAGAAGGCGACGCGAAGCTGTCGGTCGCGCCGGCGATGCGACTGTCATCAGTCGCAGTGCGACGAAGCATCAAGTCGTCAGTGGAGCAAGAGCCGTCGATTATCCAATCCAGAAGCAGCAGCTCGTCTGCGCTTTCCCCGCTCTCCGCGGACGCCGCCCTTCCCGGGCTTCTTCCGCCCACATCGGACTGCGCCTCCGCGGGAGACTTTCCGTCGCTGCACTCTTCCGCAGTTGGCACACGGCATTGCGCGCCCATCTCGCGTTCGACGGTGGGCGCCGCGAAAGGGTGGCACGGCTCGGCTGCTGCGGCAGGATCGCGCAACGGCTCTTCCGCGGCGCGCAGAGGCTCAAAAGCGGTGGTGGACATGGTTGCGGAGACGAGTTGCGCCCGCAGATGTCGTGAAGATGCGCTTCTCGCTGAGATGTGAAGATGCGCTGAGAATTGCGCCCGATGTGCGAATGACCAGCGGCTGCAGAATGTTTCTCCACGGATCTCAAGTATCGGAGCGAACCGCCGTAGAAGATGCGCAAGGGAAGCAATGCTGCGCGAATATCACCGCGCAAAGGAAGCGACTTTTTAGCGCTCACAAGAAATGACAATTCAGATGGTTGGTGTTTGGAGAAAATCAAGCAGAAATAGAGTGAAGTACTCTTGCGTGTGAATGTTTACGGCGCCGAATAAACCACACACTATGCGACACGGAGGTGAGCATGCGGCAGGGGCGAATTTGAGAGGGGAGGTTGCAAACCACGAACTCAATGCTGCCAACTAAATCTGACCGGGATTACCGCGCTTTTTTGGAAATCCCAAGGCCACACAGAATCACTCAGAAGGTCCGAGAGAACACATCAAACCAAGTGAAAGTGCACTACGGTTTTTACTGGTCCGATTGAGCGGGTCAGCGCGGTACTGTATATTTTCAGTCCTGGACCGCTGTTGGAGAAGGTAGCTCCCCCACAAGTTGACAGTGTCACAGGGCTTATGAAGAAGAATGTCTCATCCAACACGGTTTCATATGTGGCCGCGAATGAATCTGCTCTTGGAGGGCGAACCCCGTGACCAATTTCATGCACACACGCAGTGAAAGCAGTCCTGCCTGCATATGTCTCTGGTCGTGATGGTGGGGGGGGAGGGGAGGGGAGGGGAGTCGAGGGGCGGCATTCTGGTTGGTTGAAAAAACGACGTGACGGTATGATTCGCTATTGCACACGACATGTGCCGGTTGTGGTGCATCCACCCATTCTGTCACGGATAACACCGTATCGTCTTCCCCTTTCATCTTGGTAACTCCACTAAACATCGCGCTCCTCAGTCGCAGAATCTGCTAATGCAACGCCAGCCCATGTTTCCTGCACATCTGCTTGTTTGTGTGCTGGTATTATGCAGCGATTAGGTTCAACCATTGTTTCGGCTTCTTTTTCAGTAGAGAGCGATCACGAACACCCAGTTCAGCGTGTTTCCCGCTAGATTCTAGCCCCTTCGTCAAAGTTCAGGTGCGACACAAAAAGGACCACTTTACAAATCCGATGCTTTGGTGCAGGTGAATGCTGCTGCCATATTATTGGATCTCAGCCCACGAACGAGCACACGGAAAATCATATCCACGTGTTATTGGTGAATACTGTACACGGAAAACCCCTTCAGCAATTCAACCTCTTGTACTGGATACAGAACCTACATGTTGAACATTGTTAAATATGAGAACTGTACCTAAGGGCTTCAACCGTTCCGAAACATTCAGAGTTCATACCTGCCCGTTTCGGTTTCACAAAATGGACTCGCAAGTGAGCCGTGCGTGTTCGTATGGTCACGGCGGCTGCGCTGTATGCTCTGCTTTACAGCGGACACATCAGCAATCATTGACACTCTTCAGGCATGTTCAATGTTGCCCCAACAACGCTGATTCGTTCATTGCAAACAAAATAATGGCGGGAATGTCATAGCTGATAAGGCACCTCGTCAGCAGGCTGACTGATCAGTCTGGAAGGGCGCCGAACCAGGTCAGCAATACAAAGTGCCTTGATCTTTACGGTTTGATATTTTGGGCAACAGTACGCGGTTACTCACAGCCTTGATATAAGTACAGTCAATATTTAAGAACACATTTCCACCTTTACTCAGTCACTTACCTGAAGAACATAATTCTTCTAAAATTGGCTGTTTTGGTGAAAGTTATCAATTGAACAAAGTGAATCGGGTATCGTGACAGAGCGATGGTTATGCAACATTCACGGAATTATTTGTATCTTCATTTTTCCTACCCTCTCATTGAGACTCCATGTACCGGTAAGCAAAATGACACACACACACACACGCACACACACACACACACACATACATATGACTTTTTAAGTTATTTCGAAATTTCTGTATCCAAGGTGGACACGGTGTTCTCTATATAAGCCTTGCTCTTCGAAAATCTTGTTTGCTCGACGCGTGCTGTGTCGGTGCTGTGTTGGCAGGTTCTCCAGGTATATCTGCTGTCATTGGCCAACGTCGAGGATGGAATCAGGAGTCAACATGTGAGCAATCGTTCGGGTTGGCGAGCTGCCAGCTTCGATTTCAGCAGCAGGGGCGGGGGCAACAACAGCAGGGGCAGCAGCAGGGGCAGCAGCAGCAGGGGCAGCAGCAGCAGCAGCAGGGGCAGCAGCAGCAGCAGCAGGGGCAGCAGCAGCAGCAGCAGCAGCAGCAGCAGCAGCAGCAGCAGCAGCAGCAGCAGCAGCAGCAGCAGCAGGGCCATGATCACCAGCACGGCGTACAGCAACAGGGTATTCAACAGGTGACTGTGAATACGGCGGGCCCAAGAAGTACCGCAGCTGTTGTCCGGAGACGTTTGCGCAAGCTGTCACGCCTGAATTTACAACAACAAGTGCCGGATTTGGAAGATGCTGGAACAGCAACCTTTGAGAGAAGTACGTCTGGTGGCGCGTCTCAAAGAATCCGGCGACGTGAAACACAAGGAGATGGAGAGCAGCCGAGACGACAAAAACAAAGAGGGCAACGGCAGAGACGCCAGCAACAGATAGGTGGGCAGCGGCAGGGACAGCAGGCGGGGCAGCAGCATAGAGGGCAGCAGGCAGGGCAACAGGCAGGGCAGCAGGCAGGGCAGGAGGCAGGGCAGCAGGCAGGGCAGCAGACAGGTCAGCAGACAGGTCAGCAGGCAGGACAGCAGCCAGCAGGGCAGCAGGAGGCGGGGCAGCATCATGCTGGGCAGCAGCAGGCATGGCAGCAGCAGGCAGATTGGATTTGGATGTGGCACGCAGGGCAACAACAGGGGGGACAGCAGCGGGCAGGTCAGCCGCACGCCCAGGGCGTGGCGCAGCAGGGCACGGCGCAGCAGGGCACGGCACAGCAGGGCACGGCGCAGCAGGGCATGGCGCAGCAGGGCATGGCGCAGCAGGCGGACCAACAGCGGGCGGTTCAGCAGCGCGTGTGGCTGCAGCAGATGGGTATGCATTGGCAGGGAGTTAGAGTCCCTATGCCGGAGTCAGGGATTGCCACATCTTATAATATGGGTGGCATGTATAGAGGGGTTGACATACCACGAGAAGGGTTGTACTGGCAATACCCATGGACTGTGCCCATCCAGTCACACATGAATCAGCAATGGACATCGTATGGAGCGCCATTCCACCCCATACAAGTTGCGGACGGTGGTGCTGCAGGTGGACAAGGTGGAATTGAATTCTCTGCAGAACAGGTTGAAGAACATGAGTAGACCCACTGTTGAGCTAAAGCTCATGCATTCATCGTGAACAACAGATCGCCATGATCTCAAGCATTTTGGGCTTGTAGTGACTAAAGGGGGGTTCCAACACATGTGCATTTTAAGTACTTTGCATGCAGTATAGGTACCTGTTTGCAATTTATATAATTTTTAACCTATACCATGGACAAAACCAGTACCCTAAACTGCACGTAATGGCAGGTATCCTACCACGCCGCATTTTATGATGTTTGTCAAATACGGTACTACGGACGGTAACATGTTCGATTTCCAGATATGTTGTTTATATTTATAAGAAACGAGCACTGCACTTGTGTAGACACAGTATTCACAATCTATTTTAATTTCGTAATCCCTAATCAACGTGTAAAAAGGATTTATCGTTTTCCTATCATTTACAAATGTACAAGTTATAAACGTGAAATTAGGTCATAAATGTTATAATGCGAAGCAAATATCCATACCATATTTCGTTTTGCCGAGTCATACAAGGTACGTACGGTGTACATCACGGTTGTTTAGACGAGTTACCAGTTTGGAAATCGGAATGCACTGTTCATTACCAGTCTGGAAAAAATGGTGACCAGATGTGCAATGTTGGTTACCATGTAGGCAACCAGAAGATACTTTTGTTACGATTTAGACACGTGGCTTACCTCGCGTGCAATCGAGCCCGATGAGTGTTACCGCCGAGATAAATGCCCACAGTCGCAGCAAGGCAAGGCTTTCTTGTTGTCGAGCAATGCTTCGTCAAGCGGCCTGCGGGTTACACGCATTTCGAATTAGGACGCGTCACAAGTAGAACATCGATCCTGCCTAGAATCGGTGTTTAGGTGGTTACACATTTTCGTTTATTTTCGCTAAATTACAGTTTTCCCTTTTATGTCAGGCGATCGATGTGCCCCTGTCACACACGATCGTGCAATTTCGTCCACATCGGGCAATTTTGCCCCGTGTTTTTACGATCGTGTCACTTGAAACTTCAAAGCAGTCGTGACACACCGATATGGCGATCGGTTTGACAGGTTCGGTGAACAACCCTGTTCCTTTTTCGATATTTTACTTGTGACGCGTCCTTAGCTGTCTGGCCTCCAAACCAACGTCCAATTTCGAGGCATTCATTCACAAATCCGCACGCATCCAACACTAGGCTCTTGGTAATCTGTTCTGCATTCCCAGGATTCTTGAATCCTATACTCTGTTAGAAAGGCCATCACGAACCGCCTCCAGAACGTGCAGTCACTGGTGTTACCATGGCCGCTTCTTTATCTCGTGGCTGTGCTGCATTGGCGGCTGGAACCGGGATCCGACAAACGGACAAGTGCCAGAGTCATGGCTTCGCAGTAGCCTCGCTTAGTAAAGTCTCTGGCGTCTCCCGAGGGCTTCATAATGTTCAAAGACTCGTTCTTACTTCCCAACGGCCTGATCCGTCATTCTGCCGCCAAGTACGTTCTCGCCGTCAAGTATTCGCGCAGTCAGCGTCAACCGCGTCTCCGGTTACCACCACTCCCGATCAAACGGAGCGCGTGTTACACGAGCTACCGTCGGGTTACAAAATGGAGGTCCTGATTCGCCGAGCGGATCTAGACGCGAAGGCCGTGGGTGCCGATCCGGAGCAGCAGCTACCGCCATTGGTGTTTATCCATGGCAGTTACCACGCGGCGTGGTGCTGGGCTGATAAGTGGATGCCGTATTTGTCGGCGCTGGGATTCGACTGCTTCGCTATAAGCATCCTCGGTCAGGGTGGCAGCGACGTGCCGAACGCTCCTGTGGCTGGGACCATTCAGGTGCGAAGTGACAGCGGTGAGAGGTGATGGCGATAGGTGATGGTGACGATGGGGATAATGGTGAGTCTTGTTAGGCAAGAAGTGACACATGGCGAGAAGTGATAATGATGAGGGGTGGGTGTTTCGTTGGGGGTGAGGATGGTGAGAGGTGGTTATGGAAAATGGTGATAACGTTGGAGAGGGGAAAGGATAACCCGAATGCAGGCTTCAGGAAGCGATGAATGTAGAGGATTTACGAAGGGATCCAATGTTGTGAAAGCTCTTGCGGTCCACAGAACACACAACAGCTGGGTGAGCGAGAGTGTTAAGTCCGAACTGAGCTACGGACACACACCCACTCTCACCTACATGCTCCAATGGCTTGTTGGGGACTGACAAGCTTCTAGGAATGCTTAGCTGGGAGCTTGTGGGCCAAAACTGTTAGGCGTTATCAGGAGGTAGACTGCTTGCTCTATTTGTGACTTTCAGCTGCTGATGCTTCGTTTGAGCTTTATGGCAAAGGCTGGAACAGCGACGCATGATTCTCAGCTTAATGCTGCCGCGTTTTTCTTTTCCTTTCCCTTGTGTTGCACCCATCCTCCACATGGCGCCTCGGAAACGCAGTCCCACGCTGCTGACGTGTCAAACGTTATCCGCCAGGTCGTTGGCCGGCCACCAGTCCTAGTTGGACATTCTTTCGGCGGGCTGATTGTTCAGGCGTATCTTGCTGACGTGGCAAAGGATTGGGAGAGCAGCAAGGATGGTGAGTGGCTGGTGATGGGCTGACAGGTGTGCCGCATGGTTCTAAATGGTGCGTGGAACATGCATGGTTGTGACCTGTGTGTGAGCAGCATGCATGTGACTGGTGCGTGCATCGCTGACGTGTTTGAAGTTTTCCTGCCCCAACTAAAAATATGCATATATCCATGCCTCCCCTCTCTCGTCATCCTTCATCCCCCGTTATCTACTTCCTCCTCTCACTCTTGTCCCAGAAACCGCAAACCACCCCCTCTGCTATTCTTGACCTTTCAGAACCGCTCTCCACCCTTGTAATTCCTGCCTTGTTTTCCTGTTGGTCAGACGGAGTCCCATTCACCCCTCTAACGGGGGCTGTCCTCGCCTGCTCTGTGCCGCCCACTGGCAACATGTGAGTGTGACAGTACGGGGGGCATAGGGTGGGGGGGAGGTGGGGGGGATAAGGCAATTGGGTCTTATGGGGCCATTCGAGTGTGTAGAAGCAGGGATCTAGTTAAGTGCCACATGTGCACGCACCCCTCCCTACTGCCCCTACCCATCCCCCTCCTCCCCATCCCCGTCCCTCTTCCTGCCTTCTCTCTCCCCCACACGAACCCCATCCCAGGGACCTGGTGAAGCGCTACATGCGCACGCGCCCCATCCTGTCCATCCCTGTTGCTCCTAACCGCCCCCCCGCCTTTCCCCCCCCCTCTCCCCACCCTTCTCCCAGGGAGCTAGTGAAGCGCTACATGCGCACAGACCTCATCCTGTCCATCAAGATCACCCTCAGCCTCGCCTTTAAGCTCTTCCGCTCATCGCTCGCCCTCTGCCGCGACTCATTCTTCTCCCCCGCCCTCCCCGAGCCCGAAGTCAAGCGCTACCAGGCTCTTCTCTCCGACAGCAGCAAGCTGCCCCTGTTCGACCTCAGGCTGCTGAACGCGTCCCTCCCCGTGGCCAAGCCTCCAGCATACTGCCCGCCTGTCATGGTGCTGGGTGCTGCTGATGACGTCATTGTGGTGAGTTGGCAAGGATGGCTTGATGCCTTCTGTGCTGCTGTGCGAAGGGGTACTGGGGGTGCTGCCGCCTGTCATGGTGCTGGGAGCTGCTGCTGATGTTATTGTGGTGAGTTGGTAATGCTGGTTTGATTTGATGGCTCCTGTGCTGCTATGCGCTGGGATACTGCACATGTCTTCTCACTCATCCCCTCATTCCTCCACGGTACTGCACATGTCTTCTCACTCATCCCCTCATTCCTCCGCACCTCCCCGCGTGAGGGAAACAGCCGAGTTCTTCAACACAGCAGCGGTGGTGCTGGGCATGCCACACGACATCATGCTGCACCCTGGGTGAAAGGAAATCCATGCATTTGTCTCCTCGTCCCTCCATCCCCCCTTCCCTCCAACCCCCCATCCCTACCCCTGCTATCCAGGACGATCAGGGCGTGAAGGAAACAGCTGAGTTCTTCAACACGCAAGCAGTGGTGCTGCCAGGCATGCCGCATGACATCATGCTGGACCTGGGCTGGAAGGATGCTGCTGATACCATGCTGCAGTGGCTCGCAACCCATGGAGCCATCCCGAAGCAATGACACACTAAGTTACAACTATTAAGGTTTTCTGTGTGACTCAACCTGCTCGCTGTGGAAGGACGCTGCTGATGCCATGCTGCAGTGGCTTGCCAACCATGGGGCCATCCACTAGCAATGACACGAATATACGGGTAGCAAAGCTACAAGTACCGCAACGTTCTGTGTGCGTAGTGGTGCAATCATGGGGTTGGGGTATCTACCGGTATAGAGAATTGTGCACGCATGGAACAAGTTTTGAAAATGCCATGTCTGGGACTGGGAGAGAAGAGAACCTCCCACTGTAACGTAGGGTACAACAGCACCTTTCGCCTGCTCACTACAGCTCGGAGTTACAAGCACACAGCGTCCTGTCCTGTATATTGATGAACCGGATGCTTGCCCCTTGTGCTCAGGTATTGATTGTTTCGCAACGTATTGCGCAATCGGTATGTGTACATGGTGGTTTATTCCCTCCTGCACTGGAGTACAGTTCCAGTAAATTAGAAATCCACCATGGTTCATCACAAGTCCAAGTCAGTCAACAGTTAACTTATCAGAAGTAATCTTGCAACTGTACAACGCTACACCACACCACACCCACACCACTGTAGATTTTACAGCTTACAGCCGCTCACAGTACCTCAACCAACAGCCAAGGCATCCTGTGGTGGCAGTGGATTGCCAAACTTGTCATTATTAGGCGCTGACGAAACAGCACCACCCTCTTGGGACTTGTGAGTCGACTCACAAGACTGAGCAGACTCACCCCCCTTTCTCCCATTGAGCCCACTCTTATCCTCACTCACCATCCCATTCCCACTGCCACACTCACTCCCTCTCCCGTCACAACCCGCCCCTGCACCCTCCTTGGCACTCCCACAAATCCCTCCGCTACCATTGCTATCACCACTGCCACCACTCTCCACCGCAACACTGCTGCTGGTGCTAAACCTGCTGCTGACACTCCTGCCACTCCCTCCACCATCCACACCAGTCCCATTCGCTATAATCCCCCTCTCTACAGTCACATCACCCCCCTTGTCCCGCCGCCTCTCCAGCTCTGGTGACATGGCTCTTTCAATGCGGGTACCAGGAGGGGTGGTAGACCTTTGTAACCGCCGCGGAGGGGGCATGCGAGCCAATAACCGATCAAGAGGCGACATGTCCTTGTCACTCATACCCGCCTTCCCTCCCCCTTTCCCCTCTCCTCCACTACCACTACCCGGCCCGTCTGGAGAGAACAGACGGCCGGGCGGGTTGTGGAAGAGGGAGGAGGAAGAGGAGGGGTGTGGGGGAGCGGCAAGGGCGGAGGAGAGCGGCGCTGTTGCTTGGTGCAGCACACGGCCTTCGCTGCGGTCGAACGAGGGCACCACAAACCCATGCTGCGCCAACTCTTCAAGAAACTTGGGCAGGCTATCCACGCCTCCTGCGGCTGTTCCGTTGCCAGCAGCTGAGTACAGCGTCGTCGACGAGCCATGTGAGGGAGGAGGGGGACGGCATGATGTCTGACATTGAGAGAGAGCGCGAGTGCCGCCCCCGCCTGCGCGCCGGGGGCTTGCCTGCTGCTGCGGGCTTGGGAGGAGTGGAGAGGGCACCAGCTGATCCAGCAGGAGCAGCGTCGACGGCGGCGATGGCAGCTGCTGCAATGTCGGCGTGGGTTTGCCTGCGACGCGGGAGGGATGAGAGGAAATCTGCGTGGTCGTCAGCTGGATTGCCAGCAGCAGCGGCAGCAGCGGGAGTAGCAGCGGAATCAGCAGGAAGAGCAGCAGTCAGCGGCTGCTTCTGCTGGCCTGCTGATGTGCTGGTCGCTGCTGCAGGCAGGTGAGAGGAGTCAGCAGATGCAGCAGCAAGAGCAGCAGTGGAGGGAGGAGGGGAGATGGAGGAGGTGGGAGCGTCAAGCACTTCAGCAGCAGAGGCAGCACGAGGCATCGAGATGCGGGCGGGCATGGACCTTCCTTCTTCTCCTCCTTCTCCTCCTGCTGCTGCTGCTGCCGCTGCTGCCGCCGCTTCTGCTGCTCCCTCCGCTAGTGCTGCTTCTGGGTCGAAATTATCAAGAGGAGAGCCAGATGATACAGGAGCAGGGGAGCTACGGCGGCGGCTAGAGTACGAGGCTGTTGATCCCAAACCAAAGGCCTTGGCTCGGTAAGGGGCTTGGGAGGTGCTGGAGGCTCGGGCGAGGGAGGGAGGCTTGGAGGGGCGGGCGCGGATGGGAGGGGGAGGAGGAGGTGGGGTGGACGCTGCGATGACGAGAGAGAGTGAGGAGAGGAGCTCGATTAGAATAGCCTCAAATCGGTCCTTGTTGGCGAAATGGAGAGTCTGTTGTGGAGTGTGGAGGGGAAGAGAGTGAGAGATGAGCTGAGGAAAGGAGGAAAGAGCGAAGGGAGAGGAGAGAAGGTCGATGAGAATGGCCTCAAGCGATCCTTGTTGGCGAAATGGAGGGTCTGTTGTGGAGGGAGAGGGCGGTGTGGGGGAAGAACGAACGAGAGAGATGAGAGGAGAGGAGAAAGGAGAATGGGGAAAAGGAGGAGGGGAGAGGAGAGGAGCTCGATAGAATGGCCTCAAAACGATCCTTCGAGGGTCTTAGCAGGGTAAAGGATTGTAATGGAGGGGAAGAAACAGAGATGAGAAGAGAGGAGGAACGAGTGGAGGGCATGAGCCAGCAGAACATCTGCGCTGCCAGCTGGCGCACTGTGGGCTCCCATTCCCTACCCATGCACCCATGCCCCTCGCTCGCAACCCACCTGCACCAGAAGCACTCGTTGTCTTCCCGCCACCCTCGCGTTATGTGATCTGTCGTTCACCCATTGGAGCGTGGCCTGGCTGAATGGCATGAGCCAGCAGAACATCTGCGCTGCCAGCTGGCGCAGCTCCCCCAGCAGCACCTCATCCAGTGGACGCCGCCGGGACACGCGCAGGCGGGAGTGCAGTTGGTGGCGGATGAACGTGGGGAGCATGGCGTAGAGGTCCTTTCTGGTGGTGGGGAAGTGGTGTGTGGAGAGGTGGGGAGGGAAATGGTTTGAAATGTGCTTCTTATTTATTCACTCGAAGAGCTACACCTCCCCCAGCAGCACCTCGTCCAGGGGGCGGAGCCGGGAGACTCGCAGGCGGGAGTGCAGCTGATGGCGAATGGCGTAGAGGTCCTTAAAAGGAAAAACCAGGTCACCAGGTCACCGGAGGGGATAGTAGAGGAAAGCCAAAGACCCGTGCGACCCTCTTACCTCTTATAGCAGGGGTCCCTGAAATAGTCACAGCCAACTGACTGACAGCAGCCAGCACACACGCATAGAGCATGGGCAGCCCCGCCTGCCCCACCGTGCCCTCCAGGTCACTGGAGTGGATAGTAGGAGAAAGTTAAATTCCCATGCTACCCTCTCACCTCTTGTCAGTAAAAGCCGGGGTCCCTGGTATGGTGACAGCCAACTGGCTCACAGCAGCCAGCACGCGCGCGTACAGCATGGGCAGCCCCGCCTGCCCCACCGTGCCCTCCAGGTCACTGGAGCGGATAAAGGGGCAAAAACAAACCCCCGCTACCCTCTCACTCACCTCTTGTCTGTGAACGCATGAGTGCCTGGCATGGTGACAGCGAGTTGGCTCACAGCAGCTAAGACACGCGCGTACAGCATGGGCAGCCCCGCCTGCCCCACCGTGCCCTCCAGGTCGTCTGGCCCTATGGGGTCCGGCCACCCATACACCTCCCTCAGATGCTGCCAAAGAATGCCCACCGCCACCGCCAGGGTCTGATGGCAGGCGAGGGGCATGGGCGAGGGATGGATGCTGGAGGCTTGCTTGCACGGATGTTTCAGGCAAAGAGTCTCCAAATCAGTCAAGGATGGGCACAGAAACAGAGAGCTATTCAGTGACCTTCTAATCGACTCAAAGTGTGGGATGGGTTAACGCTCTGTCTACAAATTACTCAAGGATGGGTGCAGTCTACAGACACAGCAGGATGGAAGTTGGAGACTTCACCGCTGTTAACCAAATTGTTTACAAAACAGGTTCAGTAAGTTGGAACCTAGCTAACAGGGGTGATACTCGGACTTCAAACAGAGGGAGCAGAGGGAGCAGAGGAAAAGAATGAGGGGGAGCAGATTCACCCACCTTGGCCATTCTCTCACCCACCTTGGCCATCCTCTCACCCACCTTGGCCATCCTCTCACCCACCTTGGCCATCCTCTCACCCACCTTGGCCATCCTCTCACCCACCTTGGCCATTCTCTCAAGGCTGTGCGACCACAGCGAGCTCCTCTGCAGCTGCTGCACCTTCTGCCCCTGCATGGGTGGGCATGGGTGGAGATGGATGCGCATGGGTGGTGGGTGTTAGTGCGCATGGGTGGGTGGGTGGGTGGGCATGGGTATATGAGCTCATCATGCTTTGCGCTAGTGAGCACCACAAAACGCCATCCAATGCCATCCAATGCCACCCAATGCCATGCAATGCCATAAAATGCCATCCAATGCCACCACAAGCTTGCCTGGGTAGCAAAGTAGTCCTCGGGGTATTGTCACAACTTAGGCTTAGAACGGATGCATTAGTAATGAGCTTGAAACTCTTTATGTACATCCAAGATGGGCAATGAATGGATGGGGAAGGGAATCGTGGCCAATCTCTAGGGATTGGGGGTAATCCCAAGGCAATCTCCAATTGGTGGGCTGGAGATTGCTTGGAGATTAAATTTTGGGTTTGGTTGGGATGTAGGTATACACCCAACTAAACACAAAGTGCAAACCACACTACGCTAGGATACAGAAAATGTAAAATACAAAGTGTGAGATTGAGGGCTAACACTAACAGGTATGTCTGTGTGGGTGTGTTTTCAGTCGACAGAAAGTGTGCTTTGCATTTCAAAACCCGTCCGATGCCATCCAATGGCATGACGTGCTTGCCTGGGTGACAACGTACTCCTCGGGGTATGTCTGTGTGGGCTGCTTCTCCTCAAACGAGTACGCACCCATTGCCACCCATTGCCACCCATTGCCACCCATTGCCACCCATTGCCACCCATTGCCACCCATTGCCACCCATTGCCACCCAGTGCCGCCCATTGCCACCCAGTGCCACCCATTGCCACCCAATGCCACCCATTGCCACCCATTGCCACCCAGTGCCACCCATTGCCACCCATTGCCACCCATTGCCACCCATTGCCACCCATTGCCACCCAGTGCCGCCCATTGCCACCCAGTGCCACCCAGTGCCGCCCATTGCCACCCAGTGCCACCCAGTGCCACCCATTGCCACCCAGTGCCACCCATTGCCACCCATTGCCACCCATTGCCACCCATTTCCACCCAGTGCCACCCAGTGTCGCCCAGTGCCATCCAATTGCCATTCACCACCCAATGCCATCACGTGCTTGCCTGGGTAACAAAGTACTCCTCGGGGTATGTCTGTGTGGGCTGCTTCTCCTCAAACGAGTATGCATCCCCGTCAGATGACGTGCTGATGTGGAGGGAAGAGGGGCGGGTGTGGAAGGGAGGGAAGAGGGGCGGGTGTGGAAGGGAGGGAAGAGGGGCGGGTGTGGAAGGGAGGGAAGAGGGAAAGGCGGATACAAGCCAGGAAAAGCCAACAAGGGAACAAGAGTCATTCAGGAAGGAAGAGGGTGTTTGGAGGGGTACAGGGAAAGGGGCTAGGGTTTGGTGAAAGCGAGGCTTCAAGAGGGTTAGCGCAGGGAGGAAAGGGTTCCGAAGGGTTAGCGTGGGCGATGGAGTGGTGCAGTATCAAGCGCCTCAGGTATGGTCAGATTGAGTAGCCGAGACAATATTCGCTTCGTGTGATGGAAGGGAGTATGCACAAGGGCCTTGTGGTGGGTTACCTGCACCACACCTGAATCAGAAACAATACTTGCATTGCACTCCAGCCCCCCACCTAACCAAACCTTCAAACCCACCTGGCAATGGCCTCATCCAGTGCCTCCATTTCTCGCTTCAGAATGCCAGTTGGGCCCAGATGGTCCCGCAGAAACCTGGACATGCACGCACAGGTGCAGGGCAAGAGACAGGTACACGCATACGGACACGCACATGCAGGACACACACGCATGCACGCACACACTTTTGCATTCACAAGTCAGAAACTGTAAGCAAACACACAGGTTTGCCCCCTTACCCTGCTTTTCATCACTTTAGCTTCTCTTGCCCCTCCTCCAACCCCACAAAACCCCTTACCACCTCATCACCTTATCCGCTCCTGCCTTCCCCACAGCCTTCTCTCTCTTCACCCTCCTCGCATGAACCCTCAGCACCTGCTGCACCTTTGTCTTGTCCCCCATCCCCGCCTAACACTCTCCCTTTTACCCCTCTTCCTTCCTGGCCCACACCTCCTCCTTCCTGCCCCCACCACTCCACCCCTAACCTCACCTCATCACTTCATCCGCCTCTGCCTTCCCCACCGCTTCTCTCTCTCTTCCCTCCTCCGAGCATGCACTCTCAGCACCTGACCGCCCACCACACCGCCCCCCCACTCAGATTCGTCTCAGGACCCAACAGCCTCAGATTCGTCTCAGACTCGCCTCTGCTTCCCAACAGCCTTCTCTCTCTTCTCCCTCCTCCGCGCATGCGCCCGCAGCACCTACTGCTCTTGCCCGCCCCCCCATCCCAGCCTAAGTTTCCTCTTTACCCCTCTTTCCCATTTCCCCTCCCCCAGCTCCCCCTCTCTCACCTCATCACTTCATCCGCCTCTGCCTTCCCCACCGGCTTCTCTCTCTTCTCCCTCCTCCGCGCATGCGCCCTCAGCACCTGCTGCACCTGTCCCCCCACAGCCCCCCCACTCTGCCGAGCCAATGCCGCCACGCCAGCTGTCAGCAGCAGCAGCTCGTTGGAATACTCAAGGCCTGGGAGAATGGAGCGGGAGGTGGGTGGGAACGAATGGGATAGGGTGGAGGAAGGCGGGAGGGGATTGTCAGCAGCAGCAGCAGCAGCTCGTTCAAACACTCCAGGCCTGGAAGGTGGGGATGGGCGAGAATGGGTGGGGATGGTTGGGGATGGGTGGGGATGGGCGAGGATGGGGGCGAGGATGGGCGGGGATAGTTCCAATGAGAGCGGGGACAATCATTAGCAGGAGGGAGTTAGTCCCTTGGGAGACACTTCTACGCAGTAAGAAACCATTGGTCAATCCCACTCCTTTCTGAATGCTGAAAAAGGGCCCAAACCCCTCTTTACCCATAAGCAAAGCTCCCAACCCCTTTCTTGCCTTGTCTCGCTTACCTGCCATGCGCCACCGGAAGTTGAAATCGCCCACTCCCAATCGCTCCAGGTTTTCACTCTGCCCCCACCCATGCACGCACAGCACGGGACACGGCACATACACACAGGTGGACACAGCACACACGCCCACGCACGCACGGATAAGTCCAACAAGCACATCAGCCAGGTGGTTATACTTGATATAACCAGTTTCACGAAAGCAGCATGCCGTTGAAAGGCATTCCTCTAAAGTTCGGTTAAAGCCTCCTCGGGATCAGCAATTCCCCGTGGCTTTTTAAGTGCTGTAACATGACATGAGGTGAACTTGAGTCGACTCAAAGGCTTCACAAGTGTTGTAATACACGCCTCACGCTACCATCCATCCGCTACCTCACACCTGAAGCTGCTGCCTCAGCTCTGCCACGTGTCCGGGCTCCAATTGGCTCCAAAGATCCAGGACCCGGTGCATCAGCCCCGCCACCTCGAACGCCAAGATGCCCATCGGACGGCTGAGATCGCTGCACGCAATGCTCCTCACTCCGCCTCCGCCGCTGCCGCCGCTACTCCCCCCACTTTCGGCGCTGCTGGTAACGCTACAGCTGCATACATTGGAAATGTCACTCCCATTGCTGATGCTGCTGCTGCTGGTGCTCGTAGCGTTGCTGCTACCACCGCCATTGCTGCTGCTGCTGGCGCTGCTGCTAATGGTGCTGCTGCCGGGGGATATGGTGCTGACGCTGCTGCTGCTTTTGGAGCTGGTAATCCCTCCTGCTGCTGATTTCTTTACTAGGTCATTAGAACCGGTGTCGCTGATTGGTGGAAATTCCGCGTTTACTAACGCGTCGATTACGCTCACCTGGTTTCCCATGTAACACAACTATCGAGGCAATCTAATACACGGAACCACGTTAAGCGAAAGTATTGAGACTTTCATCTTCTAACCTAAATGTTATGGGTTGCATAACGGTCCGAATAGATTCTAAGAGTAAAACCGCCTAGGAACACAGGCTATCTTTTCTCTTACTCGAAAAGAAAGTATCGATACGCGAAATGTGGAATCGCCGACACGTGGCGCGTCGTAGAAGCCCAGCCGATGAGTTCGACAGAACGGACCGGAATGGAAATGCTACGGGGCAAACGAAACCGACGGGAGGGGACAGCCCTTCGGCTGGAATTCTACACCGAGCTGGCTATTCCTCGCGCGACACCCGCTCCTAGCCTTTTGGCTCGTGCTGGCTTGAAAACGGTAGCGCGGTACGTGTACCTCGCAGTTGGCTTCACAGCGCACGAAACGCGAAAGGTACTCTGGTCTGGGCTGGGGATATGCTCCTATTTGGACCCTGGTTGCGGTCCTTATTAGCAAGCTTCGGCGAGGAGGACGATGAACCATAACTGTCTGGTGAGCTGCAAAGACGATGTAAAGACAGCCATAGGCAATTCACTCCCACACGAAACACTGTACCACACCCTACAAAACGGGAGATATGAGCAGAACACTGGAGAGCTTTGTATCAAGGACAGGTCCTGGCAAACACCCCACAGCCCCAGTCTCCCCGGATTCGCGCCTGTCGTCAAAGGTGGAGCAGATGCGTCGCCTCGCCAGAGGACACGTGTGGCGCGCAGCGACGGCCGTCAAAGAGTGTTGACGGAACAACCTGCTGGTACAGGCAACTGGATAAAAAACCTGCATTTTCACCTGACGTTACAAAGTTTTATTATCACAATCAGGTTTAGCCTTACAGATATTAATGTGCACATCAATGTTTTGCACATTACACTACCTAGACAAATTAAGGGGATTATGCACAGTGCCAGACATGGCACGGGGCAGCGAATTCGGCACCAACACATACTTACCCCTCACGCCCAGCTTTCTAAGCACCGACTTCAGCTGCTGGAGATTCATTGTGCGAGGAACCACTGCATCCACTCCCGCATGCATGCACTGCTGCATGGCTTGGTCCAACCCTGCCAAATCCCACCTGTTCATGTTTGCAACCGCTATAACGACCGTACGTGAAACAGCATGTACACTTCCTGGGGCGCCTTGTAGTGGATCAGAAGCAACAACTTTAGCTGCTCCTCCAAATGCTGCTGCTTCAATTGGGCTGGTCACTGCTGCTGCTGATTGTTCTGTGTTCGCCTCAGCGCCACTTAAACAACCTCCCACATTGAGCTCCGCAGCAGCAGCCCCTGAAAACTGGTTACCATCAGCATCAACCGCAACACATTCTTCTCCATTCCTGGCCTTCCATCCTTGCCTTCTCCCCTCCGCATCGCGAATGCTGCGAATGCACGCAAAGCCATCATGCGCCATGGCCTGTTCACCAGCACAGGGACAGCACACAGCACTTCTTATAATTCTCAAAAACCATAAAGCAGGTGAGAAGGAACTTTTTAGGTGCCTAAGACATCAACAGAAGCGGAGTGGCACAAAAGCTGTTAGCGTGTGAGCCACCCAAAAAAGGATAACCGTGCAGGCATTCACATGTGGAGACAAGCACACAGCACCTACACAGCATCGCTCACCTCTAGCTCCATGACCACGAGCGAGAAGGGCACTTCTGCCATTACTCCATCCTCCCCACCATCTGCATCCGCTGCCATATCCCTGTCACTTGGTACCACTCCCTCTTCTCCTTTTCCTGATGGCGACGCCTCACCGGAAGCTTCCACTAGCCCCTGCTTGCCTGCTTCCACCTGCTGCTGGCTTCTCGCACCCCCATTCAGCTGTTGAATCCCATCAGGGTGCGCAATGCTGTTGCGCAGCTCACGCACGTTGAGGTTTTCTCCCCTGTTGCCCTGTTTTCCCCTATTGCTATGTTCCACTATCCTATCGGGAAGCGGCTCACACAGGGACTGTTGAAATCGCTCCACAGCCTCCGTGACTGTACCCGCCGTGACAACATCGAAGCCGCACCGCTCCAGCTGCTGCGGTAAATCATTGTGCAGCGCTCCCACCAGCCCCAATCCCGCGCCGCCACCTGTCGGCCCATCAGCCACTAGCGCGCGCACACAGAGAGACGTGGACAGAGGCAATGGCGGGCTATCGAAAGAAGGGGTATACGAAGACGAAATAGCAGCTGAGGAGGGGATAATGACTGTTGAGGGTATGCCAGCAGATAACAAGGCTGTCGTTCCGGTCGCTATTCTGTCTGTCATCCCCGTCGCTATTCTGTCTGCTGCAAGCATACCGATGGCTCGCACTCGCTTCCCACTTGCCATCGAGCTTCTAGGACTACCACTGCTGCAAACTGCTGCTGCTGCTGCTGGTGCTGTTGGTGCTGTTCCTGCTGGTGCTCCTTCTTCACCTTCTGCTGCTTCTCCTGCTACTGTTGTTTCTGTCCCTCCCAACATTTCAGCAGTCGCGGTTGCAGCAGCACCAGCACCAGCATCATCATCTTCCCCAGGTGTGGAAGGGAGGTCCACAGGGGCCAAGGGTGGCAGGGCAGCAGATGAGTGCAGGAGAAGGCCGTCCGGCTCCCACCCGGGAGAGAGTGGGGGGTACGGGGAGTGGGCCAGAGGCGACAGCAGCTGCACAGGCGTCAGCAACGGGTTGCTTCTTTCCAAAGAGGGAAAACCTGCCCCCTTCCCTCTCCCTCGTTCCGCACTTCCCTCCCCTCCAAACGACCCCTCTCCCCGCCCGCCGCTGCATCTCTCGCCCTCTTGACCAGCAGGGCGCAGCACCTCAGCTGCTCGCCGCCGCTGCACCCGAATGGCTGGCAGGTCCGCACACTGCCTCGGCTTTTGAGGCTCCTCAGAGGCAGGCTGAGACGCAGGCTGGCTCAGCGCTGCACCGTGCCTCACTGCCCCGGACTGACTCGCTGCTGCAGGCTGGATGGTTGGTGATGCAGGCGCAGCAGCAGGCGCAAGAACAGCAGCAGAAGCAGCAGCAGCAGCAGCAGCAGCAGGAGCAGCAGCAGCAGCAGCAGGAGCAACAGCAGCAGCAGCAGCAGCAGAAGAAGAAGCAACAGGAACAGGAGAAGAAGGAGCAGCAGTGGCAGTAGCAGAACCACCAGGAGCAGCAGCAGGACTCGCCTTGCTCATTCCAGTCGTTGAATCCGCAACACAAGCAAGGTTAAGCAACGGTGACTGGGAGACCGCGGAGGGAAAATCAGACAGCACTTGAAACCGTTCTGCCTCCAGCTCTCGAAACTGGCGTTTCATCTCATACTCACCCTCGTCAAAGTGCAACCTGGGCGAGCGTTTCATCTCCAGAGCCAGGGGTTTCATCTCGCAAGGTACTGGTGGAACGGAAATGGGATGCGCAGGCGCGTAACTGATGCTCATGGCTCTTGCAGCAGCAGGAGCAAGGAGCAAATTCTCAGGCGCAGTTGACATGGGTGTTCTCACCGCCTCTTGCTCGGGGGATCGTGCTGGTTGGGAAGGGGAAGCGCTTGAGACGCATGAGACAGGGTAAGATGAGATGGAATGAGACGAGACAGCGTGAGTTGAGATGGTGTGGGAGGCGTTGGAGGGGAGGAATCTGCGTGTTGCGCCCACGCCGCTGCTCTCCAGTACCTCCCGTGAGGGCAGAATCTCCCTGGGCGTGTGTAGCTCCGGGGGTCCCCTCACACCCTCGGGAATGTCGCCAGGTGATTCTGACGTTTCTGGTGATGCTGGTGATGATGGTGATGGGGATGGTGATGATGCTGGTGATGCCATTCCATCTCTCATCTCCATATCACATACGCTCACTCTCACTCTCACTCTCGCCCTCCCCCTGTCCCCCTCTCTCCCTGTGTCTCCCTTATTCCCCCACTCTCGCTCAGCCCTCTTGGCTCCATAACCAACGTCGGATCCGGGTGAGGTGATCAGATCGCACGGTCGGGAGTGACTGAAGGGGGAGTGACAGCGAGGAGAGACGGGGGAGTGACAGAAAGGGGAATCCCTTTCCTCTCTGCTGCTGCGTCTGCTGCCACGCCTCTTCTCACCCACCCTCTCCTCCCGTGAGACCACACCCCCCTTGTCCAGCCCCCCACTGCTGCTGTCGCTGCAGCGACTGAAAATCCTGCTGTGGCCCTCCCGTGTATTCTCCCCGTCCTGCCTGCATACTCCGCATGTCCCAGTGTTTCCTAACCCACCTCCCGCCGCCCTCTCTCCTCCTCCTTCTCTGTCCGTCTGCTGCTTTGCTGCACACGAAACAACTCTCTGCTTCCCATCCGCGCGAATCGAACCAGCGTCAGCAAGAGGGGGGACAACAGCGGTGGCTGTGGCAGCACCGTCCGCAGAGGCGGCAACAGATAAGCGAGGTGCGGTGAACGCAGGTGCAGCTGGGGCGACAGGAACAGGCCCCATGGCCATACATAAGGCCATGGGCGAGGCCTTGGGGGAGGGTATGGGCGTGGTTATGGGGGTGGGCATGGGCACGGGAGGGACAGTAGGTATGGGGGAGGGCACGGCCATGGGCACGTGGAGGGGCAATGGCATGACGACGCAGAGCACGCCATTGGCGGCCCCCACTGCGTCTGTGCGCATGCACGCGTGCACCTGCACCCGTACCTCGCGCCCAGGCGACGACTGCTCGGGTACCCCCTGTCCAGTTGCCACCTGCCCGGGTAACAGCTTCCTCAGCGGCGCCTGCTCCTGCCCTTGCAGCACCTGCTGCTGTGCGCCGCACTCTCCGTTGCATTCCGCGTTGCGCTCAGTGTCGCACTGCGCGTCGCAGTCGGTGCCGCGCGAGGTGCGCGTGGCGAGCAGCATGGTCTGGCTGATGGGCTCTGCTCGCTGCATGGCAGCCCGCAGCACGTCGCTGGCATGCCTGGGGAATGGGGACGAGAAGAGAGGGGGAAGATCTGAGTCGACTTAATGAGAGGTCTGGCTGATGGGCTCTGCTCGCTGCATGGCAGCCCGCAGCACGTCACTGGCATGCCTGAGAAACGGGGACGAGAAGAGAGGGGGAAAGATTGGGGAATGGGGGAGAGAGGGAACGAGAAGATTGAGGAGTGGAGAAGACTATTGTTGACTTGGATCAGCGCAGGGTTACATGTCCCCTGCTCCCACTCCCACCCTTCCCTCCCCCTCTCCCCTTACCCTTTCTACTGTCTCCACTTCCTCTCCCCACTCACTCGTGCGCAGACCCCTTCGCAGGTCGCAGGAGCCTTCCCGGAAACCTCCCCATCTGCGCCACGTCATCCCGGCTCCAGCCTGTCAGCTTCGCCATTCGTCGGTTCCACATCACAAACGTCAGGTCCCTGCCGGGAATTGCGGCGGAGGGGCGAGATGGGAGGGGGGACCAGGGGCACAAGGAGGCACAGGGTAAGTTGGGGACAAATACGCGAAAAGAAAGAAAGAAAGAACGAATGTAGAAAAAAGAAAGCAAGACAGAAAGAGGAAAGATAGAGAGAATGAAAGGAAGAAAAGACGAACTAAAGAAAGACAAACAGAGAAAGAAAGAAAGAAAGAAAGAAAACGAGTGCAATCAAGGGTTCCTGACGGGCCCCGTCACGTGCAATCACTTTTTGCCTGACCCCTAACCTGTCCGTACCTAATGCAACCGTAACTAACCTCTCTACACCACTCACCTATCCACGGCAAAGGCGGCGACGGGCAGTTCGTCGGCTGGGATCAGCGAATCGGGGCACCATCGAAATCGACGGTCGTCAGACGGCGACGCCATCTGCGGCCCGGCGAGCTCCAGCACAAAGTCTAGCGCTGCGCGCCGATGCGCGCTCGTGTCCTCCTCCTCCTCCGCTTCCCCTTCGTCCGCCTCCCAGGTGCTGCGCATTCCGCCTCCTTCTCCGCCGTCACTTGCGCCGCTTTCCCTGCCGCTGCCGTTGCTGCTGCTACTGCCACCGCTGCTGTCGAGGCGCGGGCCGCGAGGAGAAGCGGGGGCGTGCGGAAGCGATTTGAGCGGGTTGCGCGGCGGGTTGTGTGGATTGAACCGGAGGTTCCGAGACGCTTCAGAAGAAGTGAGTGGAAGCGTAGGAAGTAGCGGCGGCGGCAGCGGTAGCGGCGGCGGCAGTGGCGGCGGGTTCTTAGATAGCTGTTGACGGGTGGTTACTACAGCGTCGTTTGCGGCGAGTGAGCACAAGAACTCGGAGGAATTATCGACTCGGGTTGGCAAAAGCGCGGGAAAAACAGGCCATTGTTTCGGCTGCGAGAAAGACGGAGGCCGAGGGAGAATGAGACTGTTTGTTTGACGCGTCGACGCAGGGAAATGACGAGGCGGGTCGGGTTGCTGACGTGGAGCGGTTATTGGCTGACAAGGCATGCTAAGGAGGTCCGTCCATCCTTGTGAGCACGTGGAATTGTCTCCAAATGAAACGCTGTAGTCGCGCCACGTGTCGTCCGGGCACCCTGGAGCCATGTCTTGCCACGTGTCGCGCATCCGCTCACACGTCGAGGTTGAAGAGGACAGATGTAATTGTACCGGTCGATGGGAGAGCCACGTGGACATGTGACTTCAGTGGACAAACTGAATGACTGAAGAGAATCTTTCGTAACAAGCGAAGGCACAGAAGTTGAAGCGAATGGCAGATGTTTCTAAAAATAAGTGCGTGCAAGTAGAATTATTATCTGTGAGTCTCTCAGTAGTACTAACATTGCGTCTGTACGACCGATGTCTGAAGAAAACGTGGGAAAGGGAGACAGAAGCTAGTAAAAGCTGTGGCATATAGAGACGCAACAAGGTACGGAATCACAAGCTTATATTGTGCTACGGAAGAAGTCAGCGACCCAGGAAGTACTTATGCGTGACGAGAATACAAGGCCACCAAGCTGAGCCTTCAGGGATGTGTCGCTGATCAGCCAAAAAAACTACAGAGAAGCTTGCGAAGCCACAGCACAGCAGTTTTGAACGCAGCCAGCTTGCCGCTTTTCTCGCACTGGGTTTCCCGCGGCAATCTCGAGGTTTCTCAGACAGCCACCTACCTGGACCCGTTTCCACCGATCTGTCATCCGCGAATACAGTACCATGGTACCATCTCTACCCTACACCATGCTGCACGCAAGGGTGATCTTCCCAAAAGCGGGGAAGGAGATGCCTTGGTTGAGTTGGATATTTTTGAGATGAACGGCGTTCGTCATAAACAGCCTTCAGTCGTCGTCCACCAATCAATGTGCTTTGTGCGAAGTGAGGTAGTTGAAGCTGTTCAGAAGCGAAATTTTGCGAAAGAATCTCCAAGGGTGCAAAAATAACACCAACCGCTGGTTCCCGCGGACAGCGAGGGACCGGTGAATCAAGAGACGCGCTTCGCTGAATTAGTGGAGGGAGCGTGTTGCTGCTGACAGGCAGGCAGGCTCAGGGCAGGCACCCCTTCCATCTGGGATTGGCCCGACCGAATCGCTCGCCAAGTTGGAACAAACGTACTGTTAGCGAATGGGATGTCTTTTTGCGGGCAAAGATGGTCACGGATACACGTCACGACGGGGTAATTTTCCAGCTAAAAGCAATGCCAGGAGCGGAAAGTTCCGCAGTTCGGGATAGGAAGCACGTCACCACTTGTGCTGCCACGTCATGGAACGAAAAGGAGAATAACGCCAATGCCTGTTGGCATAGATATTTCTACTGAGCGATGTGGGGAGGGGAAGGCTTCCACGTGACCAATCAATTGATGACAATCACAAGCCCCCAAATGCCCAACAAGCTTATAACGGGTATTAACCACATCGCATAGATAGAACCATTGATTAACAACAGTGTATCCTGCCTGCACATTCTTTTCTATGCTTTTATTCCATGTACATGTCCACATTTACCTCCTGATTGGAGGTATCTCTCTATTATTCAACTGCACACAACAATAATCTTCCCTGACATGAGTTAAGGGTGCTCGGCATGCTCTTGGTAATCCATTCAATTGTACTGACCCTTTTTTCCCCGTTCTCGGAACAGTACGGCTCTACCACCAAGCCTTTCAGGTTTGGCTTGGCACAGGCAGTCCGGGAGAGGGTTGGCATAGAACGCTTCCTCTGACCGATGCCGATCCTTCTTCTTCACACCTGGCAGCGGGCCCTTCCTGTGCCGCGGCGCCCCCTGCCTGCAGCCAACAGAAAGAATGCACAAACAGAAGAGTTGTTAGGTGCAGTGAGACCAGTGTCTTCACGACCAGTATAGGGCCCTTCTTGTGCCGTGGCGCCAGATGCCTGCAACCAACGGCAAAACACGTTAAAAAAGCAGCTATGCAGTGCCTCACGAATAATGATTTCACACCTGGGAGAGGGCTCTGCATACATGCGCCTAAAAGGCCCGTCCCTCCAACAACAAACAAAACAGGCTCAGTGACTGGTGTGGTGATGCTGTTGCAGCAGACACTGAAGGAGGTACAGACGCATGTAGAGCATACACTACAGGTTATACGAGCTCCAATGGGTAAACCAGCATCGGTGCAAGTGCAGCAAACTCACCTGTGCATGTGCCACCAACACCAACACCCCACCTATGCATGTAAAGCAATTGCACCTCTGCATGTGCAGCAACCGCACCTGTGCATGTGCAGCAACCCCACCTGTGCATGTGCAGCAACCCCACCTGTGCATGTGCAGCAACCCCACCTGTGCATGTGCCACCAACACCGACACCCCACCTGTGCATGTGCAGCAACCCCACCTGTGCATGTGCAGCAACCCCACCTGTGCATGTGCCACCAACACCGACACCCCACCTGTGCATGTGCAGCAGGCACACGAGCTCTGAGAAAGCAGGCCCCTCCTGCAGCTCCCCTCGGTCCAGCCGGTCGATCAGCTGCACCAACCCCTTCCTGTCAGGGGAGATCGTCCTCTTGTGCCCCAGGTACCGCCTGTGCCCCTCCACAGCGCGGGCCATGTTGCCCGAATAGGTGGCCAGGAACACGTCAGCCTGAATGGACACCAGGTAGTCCACTGCTGCCATGGCGTTCTGATGCGCTGCCAGTGGTGCTAACTCTTCTGGGGTTGCCAGGGTTTCCTGTAAGGCATGGAAATGGGAGTGGGGGGTGGGAGGAAAGGGCAGGGAGGAAGACGTCAGCCTGAATGGACATGAGGTAGTCCAGAGCTGCCATGGCGTTCTGGTGTGCTGCCAGCAGTGCCAACTCTTCTGGGGTTGCCAGGGTCTCCTGTAAGGCATGGAAATGGGAGTGGGGGGTGGGAGGAAAGGGCAGGGAGGAAGACGTCAGCCTGAATGGACATGAGGTAGTCCAGAGCTGCCATGGCGTTCTGGTGTGCTGCCAGCAGTGCCAACTCTTCTGGGGTTGCCAGGGTCTCCTGTAAGGCATGGAAATGGGAGTGGGGGGTGGGAGGAAAGGGCAGGGAGGAAGACGTCAGCCTGAATGGACATGAGGTAGTCCAGAGCTGCCATGGCGTTCTGGTGTGCTGCCAGCAGTGCCAACTCTTCTGGGGTTGCCAGGGTCTCCTGTAAGGCATGGAAATGGGAGTGGGGGGTGGGAGGAAAGGGCAGGGAGGAAGACGTCAGCCTGAATGGACATGAGGTAGTCCAGAGCTGCCATGGCGTTCTGGTGTGCTGCCAGCAGTGCCAACTCTTCTGGGGTTGCCAGGGTCTCCTGTAAGGCATGGAAATGGGAGTGGGGGGTGGGAGGAAAGGGCAGGGAGGAAGACGTCAGCCTGAATGGACATGAGGTAGTCCAGAGCTGCCATGGCGTTCTGGTGTGCTGCCAGCAGTGCCAACTCTTCTGGGGTTGCCAGGGTCTCGTGGAGGATGGGAGTCAAGGGGTGTGTAGAGAAGGAAAGGGGTATGACTCAAGGTAGTCACTCGCAAGCCTCTGAGCCAGCCTCTACAGACAGGAATCTCAGCCGTCAAAGCACTCTCCCTCCTCCCCAAACCAGCCTCTTTACGCCCCAAGTTCGCCCCTCCCTCTCACCTTGCGCTCAATAAAAGGGAATCTTGCCCGTAGATCTTTCATCGTGTCCTCTCCACCGTAGATCTCCCCGGCAGCGATGTAGAGCCGTGTGTGGTTGGGGAAACCCAGGGCGGAGAGCAGCACCCCCACCTCCCTTGGCGTCATGGGGCAGCTGCCCTGCGCCCTCTGTTCCGCGGCGTTTATATCCTTCACGCGCCACTGTTTTGTTGCACGCCTGGCGTGGGGTGTCATGCGGACGAGAGGGGAGAACAAGGGAGGGGCACGTGTGGTTGGGGAAGCCCAGGGCGGAGAGCAGCACCCCCACCTCCCTTGGAGTCATGGGGCAGCTGCCCTGCGCCCTCTGATCTGCTGCAGAGATGTCCTTCACTCTCCACTGCTTCGTCGCACGCCTGGTGATGGTGGGTGCGGGGATGAAGGGTGGGGAAGGGATGAAGTGAGCCCACTCAGCGACAGCACTCCCTACCCTCCCCTATCCTCCCATCAATTTTCTCGCACCTCATAGCAGTGAGCTCGTCAGCATGTGATTGAGACAGCCCGTGCAAGCACCCACTGAACGCCAGCATGTCCTTTTGAGTACAGCAATACCACATCCGTGTCTCTCCCTATCCCCCACCTCCTCTCCCCTGTCCCTCCCTCCCTTACTCCCTCACCTGGTAGCAGTGAGCTCATCCGCTTGTGCTTGGGACAGCCCATGAGTGCACCCACTAAACGCTAGCATGTCCTTCTTGTACCGCACTGCACCCCCTCACCTCCCCTATCAACCCCCCACTTTCCCCCAACACACCTTGTAGCTGTGAGCTCGTCAGCTTGCGCTTGAGACAGC